ACATGCTTCCCAAGTCAGCACCTTTGGCTGAAAAGCTGAAAATGTTCAAAGAAGTCCTCTTGCCTCGTCACCCTCCTCTCTTTCATGAATGGTTTCTTAGAACATTTCCTGACCCTACTTCATGGTGAGTGACTGGGTTGGGTCAGCTCAAGAACATTCAGTTTGTGTATTTCCCTAAGAGTTAATGGCAGCCCAGGATGAGGCAGCAGAGGTGAGCAGTGCCTCAGAGCTGCCTGCTGTGTCTCCCAGGTACAACAGCAGGTCAGCCTACTGCCGCTCCGTTGCCGTCATGTCCATGGTGGGCTACATCCTGGGGCTGGGCGACCGCCACGGCGAGAACATCTTGTTTGACTCCTTCACTGGGGAGTGTGTGCACGTGGATTTCAACTGCCTTTTCAACAAGGTGAGAAATGCCACTTGCTGAATGTGCTCTGTATATTGTATGCATATAAGTTATAAATTTCTGCTGTCTCGAGGTTTTTTTCAAGTTTTTACTTTAACATATCCATTGTGTTCTTTGTCTCACTTTGTCTTTTATTTATATCCCAAAAAAGCCTGGGATGTGATAGTTCTATGTGCTGCATTCGATGAAAACCACCTTTTTGATTTAGCCAGTATCTGATGACCTGATGTGGATACAGCCCAAATTTTAGACTGTTCATATTTTGTGACTCTCCTCTCTCCACTATCACCCTCCAAACAAAACTGTAATTGCTACATTCAGAATTCTGCTGCTGTGGAGAATTTCTTGTTCTCTCTCAAACAAATTCAGCACAAAAATTGCAACAGTTCTGTAAAACAAACAGCAGAAATTGTGGCCAGATTGGGATTTGGAGATTTGGTGTTCCAGTTGAAAGATGTTTTTGGTGTGGGACATGTGGCCTTTTTAATTCTGATACATGAGATAGAAATATTGTTAGGTTATTTCTTCTGGTTTCTTTTTAGTAAGTCTAAATTGTCCTATATAACAATTTTTTAAAATGTTTTTAAGCTAACTTGCATATTATAAAAGTTAGCATTTTGCAATGAGACTACAGACCATAAATATATATTTAAGAATGAAATTTTATACCCTGCATTAGTGTGTTAAAACAGAGGATAAGAGGTTGTTTGGATGTTACCTTTTAATCACTGTCATTTACCCTTATCTGAGTAGGACTGTGATCAAACATCTCTTGCCAGCTAGAAAACTGCCACTGACAAACTGGAGGAAAAAAGCTAAAGCCAGAGCAAATGTTGCTCTTTAATAATGCTTAAAACACTTAGGGCATCCCTTTTTTCCCCAATGTAAAGGGAGAAACTTTTGAAGTCCCGGAGATCGTTCCTTTCCGCCTCACCCACAACATGGTTAACGGCATGGGCCCCATGGGCACGGAGGGGCTGTTCCGCAGAGCCTGCGAGGTCACCCTGAGGCTGATGCGAGATCAGAGGGAGCCTCTGATGAGGTATGGCCGCTGCTTTTGTGCAAACTCCTCAAAGCTGGCTGTAGTGTAAATGTGTGCAACAGTAACTGCTGGGGAATGTGCCAGTTCCAGCATGGGCCTGTCCTGCAGCTGACTCTCACCATGGCATGGAGCTCAGTATAAAGCAGTAGAAATATTCAGCACTAACTACTGACAGTGTTTGTGTTTTGGAAATTAAATGTATTTTATGTATCATATCCTTTTCTAATTTTTTTATTTATTTAGTGTCTTAAAGACTTTTCTCCATGATCCTCTTGTGGAATGGAGTAAACCTGTTAAAGGGAATACAAAAGCCCAGGTGAATGAAACTGGAGAAGTTGTCAATGAAAAGGTGAGTTTAAAACAAACACAACCTAAAGTATTCAAACATCAAATATCCATTATTGTTACAAATTACATATTTCCTAATTGAAACTTCATCTTTTTTTTTCTTCCATTTAAAAATTTCTCTGGTTGTTCTTTGTTATCTCTCTGTTCATAATTTTTATCTATAAAGAGATTCTTTTAAACTGATAAAAAATGTAATTTATCTACTAAAGAACCAAACAAAAAAGACTGTAATTCTCTTGTTGGTATTACTGAATCAAGGACAACATCAGCAGAAGCAATGGATCTTGTTACCCCTCATTGCAGAGTCCTCCAGATTTACAGTGATGGTAACATCTGGAGTCCTTTCCATGTGTATTTTTATGCTTTTCCTGAGTGGACATTTATTATTGAATAAATATGTGCCTTGGTACATATAAATAATTATGTGATTAAAATTAAGATTTCATACTGTTTCTTTATTAGCTGCTGCTGAAGACTGTATTATTGATCCAAAGTATAGCTTAATTTTTATTATCTTCCCTCTGTGCAAAATTTCTGATTTGTCCCTTTCTATTTTTTTTAAGGACTATTTAATGAAAATAAATGTGCAATAGCAGGCAATACTTAGGGAGCACTGACAAACACAACAGCTAAGATAAGGAAAAACTACATCATTGAAACTGTATGACAACAAAGAACTTACCTGGTCTATTTTAGCACAGAAAATCTCCTGGTCTTCAAACAGTTACTAACCAGACTATGTCTGCATTCTTTTACAAGAATTTTTTTTTACAAGACCACCCACATAATTGTATATGTTAACTGCTTCTCCTGGAGGAATGCCAATGTTATGCTTGAGCTTTAAAAGCAAATGTGTGAGTGTAATTGGTATGAACTAGCAACTCCAGTGGGCCTTGGAACAGCTCATTTTGAGATGCTCAAATTTTAACCTAAATTTTCCAGGCTTAAATTTTAACCAGCATTCCAGGAACAAGGCTAGGAAAATGTTGCATTTATTTGAAATTAATTGTATGCAATAAAGCTTTCTAACAATTCCCAAATATAAAGATATAGCTCTTTCAGTCTCCTTTGGTAACTTTAAACTGTAAAAATGTAAGGCAAAAGTTATAGCTTGACCATCAATATATCCATTCTGGAGAATTGTTCATAAAAGTGAGTAGCCTGTGTTTTCAGTGTAGCTGGTATAGGCATCTGGATTTTGTATTAAATTATAATATGATTTCAAACACATCCTAAGAAATACTGTTTATATTTTGAGAAGTGGAAGTTCATGAATAGTACAATTTTTTTTTCTTCCTTCCAGGCCAAAACCCATGTCCTTGATATAGAGCAACGGCTGCAAGGTGTCATTAAGACTAGGAACAGAATCAAAGGATTACCTTTATCTATTGAAGGGCATGTTCACTACCTCATTCAAGAAGCAAGTGATGACAACCTGCTCTGCCAGATGTACATGGGCTGGGCTCCATATATGTGATATTTGTTCCCTTTGGAACGGTACCATCCACAAGTGCTGAAGCTATAATATTGTTGGGAAGGAATCAGCCAGTGGTACCTGGTTACTTCTGTTGATTTTTGGCTGCAAGGAGAAGAACAGGTTTATGGTCTTCCAAAATCTGTGTAAAATGTACAGTGCCCTTGCAAGGATGCTATGAATGCAGATGTGTAAGGTGCAAGGACTTACCTTTTGAACACACACAGAAGGCAGTACATAAGAACTGCTTAAAAATTAGACTATGCAAGGCTCTGACTATATGAAAGATTTTCATGATGTTGACAGATGCACTATAAAGTACTGTATATTTTTGTAAACACGTTTCTCATTTGGTTTAGATTAGAAAATAAAACAATGAAGTTTAATACTGATAGGATGTAAAGTGGTTATTTCAACTTTTCTACTCATATACAGAAGGGCTTTCTAAAAATTATTAGTATTTCTTTCTAGCAGTAGAAAGAAATACTAATAATTCAACTTTCTTCCATGTTGCCTGGCTATCTCTAGGAAAGCTTTTGGGATCTTAAATCTTAGCATGAGTAAACTGGTAAAGTGTTTCCATGTTCTGAACCTGTTTCCTTAGCCCTTGAGTGCTAAAAACCCTCCTGGAGGACAAGGCACAAAGCTGAGAGATGGAGGGACCCTGGCAGTGTGGCTGTGAGGCCAGGCCAGCCGGCAGGTGGTTGGAGCTGTGACTGTAACATCCCTGGAGGCTCCTGAGAGCCTTGCTCTGCCCCTCTTCCTCCCCTGGAACAAGCACAGCTCTAGGGGTGTTTTTCAGATTCCATTTCAAAAAATGTGTTTTAGCACAGGGGGTAGACTAAAATATAGTTGAAAGGCAAATGCTATCTTACATAAGTGCTTGCTTTCTAGGCATCCAAATTGTAGGGAAATGAGGGGCGGGGGGAAATAGGGAAAATTATACCCTTTTAACCTACAGTAGGCTATCATTAGAATTTTTGTACAGTGGTTTTGTTTCTGCTATTCTGAGAGACAAAGAGTGCTGTTAGGTTTTGAACACAGGCTCACACGGTGGTGTGACACTCGAGAGTTTCTTCGGTTCAGCTGAAATCCAGAGGTTTGGAAAAGTAAAATAACAGGTTTGCAACCGCTTCTAGGGCGTTTTTTTCCCTATCTAATAGGTAATCTAGAAGTGTTGTCACTGTCCCATAAACGTGACGAGTTTTCCTAGTAAAATACTTGGAACATACAGTAATCTTTTCCGGTGTTGTGTCTGAGTGCTGACGTTGTTTTTCCCAGTTTTTATCAGTTTATGGGAGCGCAGAGAGCCGCCCGGGGAGCTGTTGCAGCGGGCGTTGCCACCGCGCGGGTTGAGCAGAGCTGCTGCCCGGGGCGGGGGGACGGGGCCCGGGCTGGGGCAGGGCAAGGCAGGGCAAGGCAGGGCACGGGGGTCCCGCGTGTTCGCCGCGCTCCAGGCCCTGCGTGCCGGCGGCGGTGGTGAGGCAGCCGAGTGGTGGGAGCCCCCCCGGGCCCGCCCCGCTCCCGCCCCGCTCCCGCCCCGCTCCCGCCCCGCTCCCGCCCCGCTCCCGCCCCGCCGCGGCCGGGCCCGCCCCGCTCCGGCGCCGCTCTGTGCCCGCTCGCTGTCGGTGGTGCGGGCGCTCGGCCGCTGTCAGCGCGGCGCGCCGGAAGGAGGGCGGAGCGCGGCCCGCCGTGTTTGGTTCCGGCGGGGCTGTGAGGGCGGCGGGGAGCTGTGGCCATGGGGGTCCCCAAGTTCTACCGGTGGATCTCGGAGCGGTACCCCTGCCTCAGCCAGGTGCTGAAGGAGCATCAGGTGAGCTGCGGGCGGAGCGGCGCTGCCTGACAGCGGCCGGCCCCGGGGGTTCCTGCCCCGGCCCCTCGGCGGGATGAGGGAGGGGGACGAGGGGCCGGGCCTCGTTCCCGGCCGGCCCTGCGGGACCGAGTCCCGTCCCAGGCCGGCTCGCCCACAGCCGGGGCGGCGCAGGGGGGCGGCTGCGGCTCAGCGGGAGCGGCCGAAAGTGGTGGGACGGCGGTGGGCGATCGCTGGGAAGCGGGCGAGGCGTTCGGTGCCCCCTGGCAGCCCGTCTGTCCGGGCCGAGTCCCCCGCTGGCGGGCAGAGGTGCCCGGAGCCCGCGGCTGGGGGCCGGCGGTGCTTTCAGCAGTCCCGGACCCGGAGTGCCCCGTTCCCCCGGGGAATGGCCGGCCCGCGGCGGCTCCCGGCCCGGGGCTGCCCCGCCGGGCTCTCTCCCCTCGCTCTGAGTGCCCTCGGCAACACTCGCGGGGAGCCCAAGGTCGGAGTTTGCTCCTTGTTGGGCTCAGAAAAGTTCCAGCTGCCGACGGCCAATGGCGCGGTAATGACGAGGGACAGGTTTTACAGCTCGGCTGCGTTTCCTTGTTGTTGCCTGCGTCGGACAGTTTGTGTTAGCAGCTGAACCGGGAAGTGTGTTCAAGCCTGGGAAACGAAAGCCGTAAATCATACTTCTAACAGTTGGACCAAGACATCATCTTTTCAGAGATACCATGTTTGGTACCTGTTGGATACAAGTGCTTCTAATTATAATTTTCAGCTGGTGTCACAGATGTGGTTTTGTAGATTGAATAAGGATGGTCTGAGATAGGTGATAATTGAGACTGTGTTTGAATATTGATACGTTTTCCCTAAACACCTGTGATTTTTAAAGATTAAATAGCTGTTGTGTCAGTGTAACTAAGATGCCCAGCTCAAGTGATTCCCAGCTTGCATGTTGGCTTTACCTGCTAGTTTTAAAGCAGTTTTTTAAAGCTTAGGTCTTTGCTTGTGATCTGTTGGCCTTCTCTGAAGTGTCTAAAGCTATCTGTGTAGCAGGGCAGCAGCAGTTTATGCTGCCCTTTCTGCTGTTTCCTTAGAAGCCTGGGCTGCTCACACATCTTTAAACTTGTGCTGAGGAACTGTGGCAAGCTGAGGAGGCAGCAGTGTCTGCTCTAACCAGGGGATTGGCAGCAAGGGGTGCTACCCTTGATGCCTTTTGAAAAAGGCAGTTAGAGCTCTTAAGGTAAACAGTAAACATGACTGAACCCTTCCAGGTCACTTGAATATACAAACTGACACATATTGGCATCTAGATTATATGTTAAGAGTAGAAAAAACAAAACCAAACCAACAAATTGAAGGGCCTATCTATGTAAAACAGCATTATTATTAAATCATAGCTGTGCTTCTTGAAGAAAGCATAGGACCTTTTATGTCTGTTGTTTCCATGTAAAAGCTTTAGTTTTTGTCTCTTTAAAATGCTGCCTGTGCACTGCCCTGCTCACTTATCTGAAAGCATGGAGAGCAGTTTGGTTACTGAGTTTAACCATTCTAAAGATCATGATGTGCAACAGCAGACTAGTTACAGCAGTTGAGTGGGGATCATTCCTGATCCTGCCTCGAATTTCTTCTCTTCACCATTTCCTCTTTCTAAGACAGTTACATTTCTCTTGCATCTGGAGGATAAATGCGAGCTCAACCAGGTGACTTTAATGATGTGTCAGCAGCCGTGCTATAGAAAACCGTAACAAGCTGGCAGTGCCTTTTCCTGGGTGTGATGATGGGGGGATTTTGTGAACAGTTTTACTGGGGGATTAGGGAATAGATTTGTTTAATGTCAGTTGCTCTTGTGGTGCATTTTGGTGACACTGAGGTAGTACTGACCCCTTTGTGTCATACATTTACCAGTGTTTGTTCTCTGTATGTTGCTTGTGTACATTTGGGAAGGCTTTCTTTTTCCTTTAAAAGAAAGTGTACCTGCTGTAGGTAAGGCTGTTAGAAGAGCAGAGGACTAGATGGAAAAAGAATGTCTGTTTGGAAAGTCTGGGTAAGAAATGTATATTGTTATTGCCCACTCCCTGCTTTTGGTGCTGATTTCCACTCTCCGGACTCAAAGATGCTCACAACCATAGCTGAAGAGACAGCGTGCAGTAGTTGGGGTAGGAGCTGCTGAACAGGGGGAGAACTCTAAAGGTTCTAAACCAGCTTTGCTTGGAAATATTGTTGGAAATTGCATACTCCATTTTTATTGTTTGTAGTGCAGCTATGAAAGTTTGAATCGGTTAAATGTGCAGGCTTACAAAAAAGAAGAAAAAATCTTCCTGAAAACAGTGGTTTTGGTTTGCTTTTCCATTTTACAATGTAGAAGATAGTCTGAGCAAAGGGACAAAAGTCCTGAGGTTCCAGGATAAGAAACAGCCAGGATAAAGAAGGAATCTGTTCAGCTGACTTGGCTCACTGAGGACAATCATAGTAACAGATTGCATGTGCAGGCAAACCCAGATACTCTCACTCTGCCTGTTGGTGTGCCGGGGGTTCCACAGAGGTCTTCCCACCTCAGCTCATTTGCAGAGTGCTCTCAGGTGTGCCTTGGGCAGTGCCTGCATTCACCAAGTGGTGCTAACTGTGGCATTTGTAGATTCCAGAATTTGACAACTTGTACCTGGACATGAATGGCATTATACATCAGTGTTCACATCCAAATGATGACGATGTCCACTTCAGAATCTCAGAAGATAAGATTTTTGCCAATATTTTTCACTATTTGGAAGTACTGTTTCGCATTATTAAACCAAGGAAGGTTTTCTTCATGGCAGTTGATGGAGTAGCTCCAAGAGCAAAAATGAATCAGCAGCGTGGGAGACGTTTTAGGTAAGATCATCGGTGCTGACTCTGTCTTGAGAATAGTAAACACCTAAAAGAACCCATTTACTGAAATGTGTGCCATGCAAAGTAAGAGAGATGGTGAGTGCTTGTGCCCTTGACAGTAGTTTTAATTGAATGAGGGTAACTACCTGTAAAATGTTAAAATCAGGATTCCAAAAGGAAAGCTTGCTTGTTATGTAAATTTTTCTCTGTGTATGTGGCACTTAGTGACAAAGGGAGCTTTTTCTTACGGAATTTTCTGTAAAACAGCTCTGCAGTGGAGCTCTTTCAGATGTTTCCAAATGCTTCAGAACCTGTGAGAGTCTTTGATATTTATGAATGCTAGTTCTAGATATGCCTGTTTGGTAACTGTAGTGGAAGTCATAGAAAAAATCAAGTTTCTAATGAAACTGATTTCCAATTAATACCAGTTACCAAGCTAGCTCAGATAACAGAGCTACAAGTACATTAAGAATTGCACTAATATTTTGGGAGATTTGGAAGCTTTTTAAAGATTGCTATAAGGAAAAATAGCCAGTGGTCTGACAGTACCAGGATGGTGAGTGAAATGCAGCATCAACAAGCTGCAGGAAAGGAACAAGAGAAAAGCAAGGGAATTTTTTTTGTGATTTGGTTTTTGATGTAATTTTTTCTTTAAGGAATAAAGGAGGTTGAGAGGAAGCAGAGATTAAGAGTTCTAAATAGAAAATTGTAGCAGAATTGAGAGCCAGACAAAAACCAAAGACTTTGGTGGGTATTTTGTTTCTGGTTCAGAAATAAACCAGAAATAGGAAATTCTTGTCCAAGAAAGTCTAGCGTGATGTTTGTTAATTTCTCCATTACTGGGCATGGTAAATTGTTCACTCGTGACTCCCTTTTCCACACCTGCTGCTTTGTTTAACTTTTGTTAACTTTGTTTAACTCTGTTCAACAGCAGTTATTGTTCTGGGGTAGCATTTTCAGATGTTTGGATAACAAATATTCCTGTTGTTTCAACATTAATAACCATTCATTGTGATCAGCCATTGTATGATCACCTTGTTAATCTAAATGCTGACTGCATTTGAATAGTAACAGATTTTCACATTTCTATGAAAAAAGTGCTATTTTTAAGCCACTTAAGTTGTATCAGAAATAAGTCCAAACTATTCATATATTCATTTTTTCTCTTTTTTATTTATTAAGCACTCTAAGTATTCAACTATATTTTGTCAAAAAGCTGTACTAGGATATTAACATTTGAATAAGAAGATTTGTTCTCTACTCTCTCTCCAATGCTGTTTTGTTTTAGATCAGCAAAAGAGGCAGAGGACAAAATAAAAAAGGCATTGGAAAAGGGAGAAACTCTCCCTACAGAAGCCAGATTTGACTCCAACTGCATTACACCAGGTAAGAGAACTTGTTGATTATTTAAATTGTTTAAGGTTTGTCATCTGTATTTTGGTACTATTTTCCTATCTTTAGGCATGTGTTTTTACAAAATAGAAGGCACAATCAATAAAGGCTTAAGTAAGTTTGTACAAAAGTTTTTGTAACATTCAGTGGGGTTGGAATATTGTCTCATTCTAAAAATTTTTTAGATTACTATGTAAAAAATGAAATGTCTTAGGAAAGAAACCAGTCATCCCTTCATTTCTGGCAGAGGTTTTGTTTGTTGGCATTTTTTTAATACTTCTGATATGTAAATGCAAACTAGTGAAAAACTTAAACTTATGTTTCTGTTTTCAGGAACTGAATTCATGGCCAGATTGAATGAGCATCTTAAATATTTTGTAAATATGAAGATTTCCACAGACAAATCCTGGCAAGGAATAACAGTCTACTTATCAGGCCATGAGGTCATTATATTTTCTTATGATCCTATTTTAAATTCCTTGTATTTGTATAGGGTAATGCTTACTGCTGATTTTGTTGGTTTTTTTTTTGTTTTGGTGTCCAGACCCCAGGGGAAGGTGAGCATAAAATTATGGAGTTCATCAGATCAGAAAAAGCAAAGCCCCATCATGATCCAAACACAAGACACTGTCTCTATGGCTTAGATGCTGACTTGGTATGTGCAATTAAAATAATACAAACAAAAACAGGGATTTGTCAAATGTCTACATTTTTGATATCTTCCTAAGCTCATGGGATTTTAAAATGGTTTGAAACAAGCATGTCATTTTGTATTCCTGCCAACTTTTGAATTTGTAATGAAACCAAACATCAACATTTTTTTATTTAAGGTTTAAAAAAAATTAAAAAGTAAGATGTTTCTGGTATCTCTTTGTAATAGATAATGCTGGGATTAACAAGTCATGAGGCACACTTTGCGCTCTTAAGAGAAGAAGTCAGATTTGGTGGTAAAAAGGCTCAAAGGTGAATTGATTTAACTTTACTCTTATTTTATTTATGATGAAATTAAATCCAAAACATACTGGGTGACTAAAACAGGTGTGTGTGGTGATTTGGGTTTTCTTTTATTGATTGCATAGTAATTTATGAAGTCTAGTAATTTAATGAAACATAGTAATTTAGTTTATTCTTTGGGTTAGAGTAGTCATGAAATTAGAGGAATCAATGTGCTGAATTGTGCATTTCAATTGGTTTACATGAAAAAATGTATGCTGTGAGAACAGCTGATAAAAAAATCCTTTTAACTTTGGTGTGTTTTACTTTTTTCTTCATGTAATAATTGAGTAGCCTGGGCTCTATTGACATTTTTTCCATAACTGTGTTAGGCAGATATTAACTTTCAAAAATGTATATATATGTGTGCATATATGTGAGGTTTTTCAGTTATTCCTGAAGTAATACAGGAATAATTTATAACTGTTACTGGGGCTGGGTTCCTTCTTTGAAGAACTTTCAAGCGTATATTGGGTACATAAAGATAGAAAATGGGGGAGACACAAATAAATACTTCTGACAGTAAGGATAACACAGAATAAATCATAAATGTTTAGAGAAATGTGTAATTTTTGCTAATAAAGGAATATTTTATTGCCAAGGACAATATGATGAACATCAGAAATGTGCTTTCTTTTCAGTCTTTGTAGTCAACATTTCACTAATACTCGTGGGTAGTGTTGGCATGCAGCACTGCAATATTTTTAAAGACCTTACATCTAATCAAAGTGAAACCTTGGTTTTACCTTTGTCAAAAATAAAATAATGTAAAATAAGAGTGTGATTTACTTTTTGAAAGATTCATTAGGGAAAGTATGAAATCAAAGAGCAAAGTGTTATTTATTCCCTCCCCCCTCCCCCCAAGCATTGTTCCATGTTGTAATTTCTGAATAATTTGCTCATTACAAGAATTTACTTCTGTAAGTTACAGGAATTGCCTTCTGTCAATACTGTCACTTTTGTGGATACTTACAGTTCGAAATATGAAAATCCTAAAAATATCTACAGACTTATATCTCACCGTGAATGTTTTTATTGAGCGAAATTGCTTGGCTTATCAGGATTTCAAAGTCCAGTGCAATGAAGAGTAAGGGCAGAATGTCTCTAGAGCCTTATGGCATCAACCTGGTTGCCAAAGTTCTTTAATACCAATATGAAAATTGCATTTTAAAAATGGCAATTGATTGATTTAGAAGTCCAGTGTAGCTCAGAGTTTGTCTTTCATGAGTTTATCTGAAGGCTGCTATCACACACATGTTCCTTTTGGGATAATTTCTGAAATTTCCTCTTTATGTGTGAAGGTACAAATATTTATGCTGGTTTGTCATTGGGTTGTCTCAGCTAGTTACAGTATCTACAAGGTGAAATAGTCCTTTATTAATTGGAAACACATAATTTAGCTCATTAATCTTTTGGTGTAGGTGTTAACTGATTTGGGGCTAATGTTGGCTTAGGGTTTTTACAAGTAGTTTTAGTGAAGAGAAAAAGGGAAGGCAGAATATGTATTGGCTATGCCATAAACAAACAGTTGGTTTGTTGTTGTTCTAGTGCAGCATTGAAGCCATGAAATGATACATACAGAGCATATTTTCAAGTTGAGCATATTCATCTCTTACAAGAAGCATTTCAAATGACTGCAGATGTAACCCAGCTGGTTTAGATGGAAATTCTTGTACTCTGTTCTCATTCAGACTAGTTAGAAAATGCCCTAAAATGGTGAGGCTTGGTGCCAAGTTGGGCTGGTTTGTCTCTTTTTTGAGCAATGGGGTAAGGAAATAGGATTTAGGAAGTAGTTACTGCAGCTTGGAACTCCACACAGCTGTTCTCTAAGTTAGTTCTTCTCTATACAATCACACCTGGTGTTCAGAAGATGCTACTGCAAAATTTTATATATAATCTCAAAATAGATTCAAGGAAATGTTTATACATTGTTTCTACAAAGATAGAATCCTAGTAAAATTTCTTGTGTTTGGGTAACCTTGGACTTATTAATATTAATGTTGAAAGTGTGTTTATAAATAATTAACTTGGTGGTTTGAATAATTTACAGAGTGTGTGCACCAGAGGAAACCACGTTTCATTTACTGCACTTATCACTGATGAGAGAATATATTGATTATGAATTTTCTCCAGTAAAAGTAAGTTCTAACGGAGCTGAGATGGGAAAGAATGTGTGAATGTGTGAAGTCTTTATGCAAAAATGACAACAAAAAGTATACTCCTGAGTGTTGTTCTTTTATCCTTTTTCTCTTTCCTTCAGGACAAGATTTCTTTTGAATATGATATTGAAAGGATAATAGATGATTGGATCTTAATGGGTTTCCTTGTAGGAAATGATTTTATTCCTCATCTACCTCATTTACACATTAATCATGATGCACTGCCGCTACTTTATAGAACATACATGGCTATTTTGCCAGAACTGGGAGGTGAGAAAACTAAGTTCAGCTGTGGAAAGTAGAAGCATTAACACTGATGTATTTGTATTTATTGAACTTTTTTTTCATCTTAGAATGTTTAGCATTTACTATACTTTCCTTAGAGAGGCAGCAAGATTGCGTTTTATTACCTGTGCATCATCTGAATGCAAATCTTAAAATTGTTGAATTGTTACTTCAAAAGCATATTTAATTTTCTCAACAGGTTACATCAATGAAAATGGGCATCTGAATTTAGAACGTTTTGAGAAATATCTTACAAGATTGTCAGATGTAAGTAACTTTGAAATTTATAGAGTGTTGAAATTAAACTCAGTATGGTACCCTAAAATACACCATACTGTAGTTGTAATGAACTGTTAAATGGCTGTGATTTACAGGTGGTTTAATCAGCTGTTATAGCATTGAACAGATGGAATCCTATCAGTTGTTGTCTGATCTTACAGCATAAGAGGAAAAAGATTGAATCATTTGATCTGTGCTTTAGCCAGCACAGTGCTTTTGACACTGCAAGTCAAATGAGGATTCCCCAGTAGAATCATGGTACTCACTTCCCATCAAAGTGTGTGGCAGTATCGGGCAAAGCTGGTTAGAGCAGGTGCCAGTAATGCCAGGGATGTGGGTTCAGCCTCTCTATAGCAGATGCCAGTAATGCCAGGGATGTGGGTTCAGTCCTTCTGGAGCAGGTGCCAGTAATGCCAGGGGTGTGGGTTCAGCCTCTCTATAGCAGGTGCCAGTAATGCCAGGGATGTGGGTTCAGTCCTTCTGGAGCAGGTGCCAGTAATGCCAGGGGTGTGGGTTCAGCCTCTCTATAGCAGGTGCCAGTAATGCCAGGGATGTGGGTTCAGTCCCTCTGGAGCAGGTGCCAATAATTCACCTGGGTTCAATCCCTCTAGGGCTGCTCACATACCAGTTGGACTCAGTGATCCTTGTGGGTCTCTTCCAGCTCAGAATTGTCTGTGATTTCTGTGTATTCTAAAAGCTTGCTGAACACAGTGATATTCTTTGTTTCCCCTGCTGTAGTTTCCTGGGGAGCAAGCTGTCTGAAGGTCTTGGAAGGGAAGAATTGTTTCCAAGTTTTTAATGAAAATCACTGGTAAAGATCAGGGAGCATCTGAGGGGCAGGCATCAGTGTTGTTCATGAACTAACTAGTTAGTGTACAGAAGGTAATCTTGTTAAGTGCTAGTGCAGTAATGCATCCTAGAGATGAGGTAGGCTATAGCCATATAGAAATGGAAAGGATTAAACCTTCTGCTGAACTTGCAAAGAGGGAGATCATCTGTTGGCCCTGCCTCAGCCTTATTTTCTGGTTCTTGGATAGAGTTGGGAAAGTGTTAGATCTGTGGCACAAGACCTTAACCAGACCTTACATGTGCACTGCTAGACTTGATAGTGAAGTGTAGAAGTTATTTAATTCTTTTTTGTTATTTAATTCTGTTTTGGTTTCCTTGCTGCCATACTGAAAGAAAACAAAATATGGCTTGGCTGTGTGTTACAAATTGCTGAGAAATAGGATTTTTATTATTAATCTAATTTGTTTAGTTGTCTGTCTAGGGCAAAATGTTCCTGTACAGATTACTCTAGATGTAATCTAATGCATGTACTAAAAAGACATTGTTAATCTGGCATTCCAAATTTGACATCCCTCAAATATTTGCCAACTTACTTTAATCTCACAGTTCGATCGTGAGCACTTCAGTGAAGTCTTTGTTGACCTAAAATGGTTTGAAAGTAAAGTGGGTAATAAATACCTCAACGAAGCAGCTGGGATTGCAGCAGAGGAAGCCAGAAAAAATAAACAAAAGAAACAAAAGGTCAGTGTATTATATGCACAATATCAGAAATAAGAATGTTACTTTTTGCAAATCAGTAATTTAGTGTTAGACTAATTAAGTGACATAAGCCTCTGTTTTGAGATTTTTTTTTCAAACCAGAAAAGGTAGTAAATTGTAACAGTTTGCATTCTGCCTGTATGCACTGCTGGTTGTGGGTGATGAAATGGTTCAGTCAGGGGCAGGTGCTCATGATTTTAAAAGTCTTGTAAACCTGTATTTAATGCTTTGCTGTTCTTCAAAAGCAGCAGAACTTAACTTTTGTGTGTGTTATGATCAAACCTGCTACGCTTTGTAATCTTAATTTTTAATGCATAGTCTGCTGCAAGTTCCATGTATTTCAGATACACTGATAGAACATTCTTGTATGTCTTGGTATTGGCTAACTACTGGACAGCAGATAGGGAACAAGCAATTTAATTGGTGAGCTATCTCAGATCAGTATTAAACTTGCAGTTCTAGATATAACCAACTAATAAGAAACAGCACCTTGTATATGTGTGTACTACTACATAACAGCATCCTGGCTCTGCCCCAGTGTCGAGTTCCCCACCACCCCTTCCCCTGACTGCCCTTCACTATATGCTTCAGCAGAGCAGCAGGAGAAAATTCCTCTGCATTTAATCTGTCTTTGTATATTGTTATCCTGTTCTTTGTGTACAGAGCAATTTTGGAAAGAGTATATTCAGGTATTTTTTGAGAAGTAGTTAACGTTTTGACACTGCTCCTTTTGTCTGATCTGTCCTTTTTGTCTGCTTAAATAATTTTCTTGAAGCAATTGCAAGAGAAGGAAATGAGTTTTATAATAAATAATATTTATACATTTTGATTGTAGCATTTTGAGTTGCAAGTTTTGAATGGGGTTTGTGCATATTAACCTGTATTTTTACATTATCTCAAATCTTAATTTAACAGGCTCAGGAAAATTCTATATCTTTGGCTGCTTTAGAAAAAAATGAAGGTGAAGTGACCCCTAAAAGTAAGTGCAAATAATTTTTCCATGCACACATAACAAAAAATGTGTGTATAGATTTTAAAGAACTGTAAGAATTGCATGTCAGAGTTGAGCTTACTCTGAATGCAAGACATGCAGTCATCTGTTGGGAAGTGGAACTGCTCTGGTGAGAGAGTGGGGCTAAAGCTTTAGAGGTGCTTCTTCCTTGCCCTGTATTTCCATGATGAGTTAAAGGAATTAATGAACAAACCTTCAACAATATTATGGATTTGATAAGTGTATGCATAGGTATTTTCTTAGATGGGGGGACAAGGGAACAGATTTTTGTATAGCTTTAGGATTTTTGGTTGTGGTTGGTTTTAAACTCATTCTACTTGTAGGAAATGTTTCTTTCTCATGTTCTGAAATTATTGTCAAAAATGTATGAATATTACTGCATGATATTAGGTGATGTTGCTAAACATAATTAAATTTTAAAATTCTTTTTAATGTTTTCTCAGACTTTTTTATGACGGCTTATATTATCTTTTCTTGTAATTGGGCTAAAAAATGGGTTGCCTGTCTTAAAAATTCCAGAATTTTCATGGGTAAAGATTTTGTTTGATTGTTTCATGTTATTTTCAGTGCAAGAAAGGTGTGAGTACCTATAGTTTTGAATTGAGGAGTAAAGTTAAGGCTTAATGTCAGAAGTGAATGTTTTCAAACCTTACTGTAGTAGAGAAGTGAATGTTAATCCTTTTTTTTCAATGTGGTTTTCCAGCCACATTGGAAGATGAACCAGAAGATGATGATCTGTTTGAAACTGAGTTTAGGCAATACAAAAGAACTTACTACATGACTAAAATGGGTGTAGAAGTAGTGTCTGAGTAAGTATATACTTCTTTTTTTATTCCTAAATGCTGAAGACAAGTCTTTGTAGATATGTATTCGAGGCATACATTTGTAAATGTGTATTAGAGACATTTTTCAAGAGTGTGTAGTGATGGGACAAGGCATAGTGGCTTCAAACTGAGAGGGGGTAGGTTTACTTTAGATAATAAGGAAGCAATTCTTTACTGTGAGAGTGGCAAGGCACTGGAGCAGGTTGCCCAGAGGAGTTGTGGATGTCCCATCCCTGAAAGTGTTCAAGGCCAGGGCTTGGATGGTGCTTTGAGCAATCTGGTCTATGGAAGGTGGGCAGGGGATTGGAACAAGATGATCTGTAAGGTCCCTACCAACCCTCAACATTGATTCTAGTAAAAGACAGAATATTCATCCCATGTCAAAAGCAGAGAACACATGGCAGAGTACTGCAATGGTGATTTTGCCTAATGCAACAAGAGCTGCAAATCAAGTTTTCTGTAATAAGTATTTGAAGACCAGAGAGGAAATGAATCTAGAAAATCATGGTATTATTAGGTTCCCAAAATGTTCATGCCTATGTACAAGGTGCTAAGTATTTTTTATATACCAGTGAAAATGAGAAAACTAATAGGTATCTTTCCTTTTTCTTTTAAGTGCCTTCTTAGCTGATCAAGCTGAATGTTATGTCCAGGCAATACAATGGATTTTGCATTATTATTACCATGGAGTTCAATCATGGAGCTGGTAAGAAAAAACATTAAATGGGAGACTGCTGAAAGATAGAGTGGTATTTCATCTTCTATACTGGGAACATTTAATGTAGTTTGGTTTGTTTCTGATCTGTGAACACTGCTGTGCTCTAATTAAGTCATGTCACTTTGGGGATTTTTTAACCTGCAGGTATTACCCTTATCATTATGCACCTTACCTGTCAGATATTCACAACATCAGTGAACTCAAAATCAAGTTTGAACTTGGAAAACCTTTCATGCCATTTGAACAGCTTCTTGCTGTACTTCCAGCAGCTAGCAAAGATTTGCTACCTAAATGTTACCAGGTAAGATATAGAATTAAATTGCATTATCTATCTACTGTACTCATTGTCTGCTTTATTTTATTTTACTCTATTCTTAGTGGTTTTGCATGTCTTGTTAATTAAATTCTATCTCTGCATTTTAGATGTATGGTTAAATATTCTACTTGTTACTATATGTAGTGCGTTGTAAAGTTACTAATAAATACAGAATTTTACATTTGCTAAGCAATTTCCAGCTAGAACAGTTAAATATTTCATTCCTGTACAGCATTGAATTGGTTTTAATACCAGCCTTGCTTTGTCACTTCCTACAATTACTGCTAAATTGCCTTTGATATCATCTCTATTGTATTTTCCTAGCATTTGATGACTAGTCAAGACTCTCCTATTATAGAATATTATCCACCTGATTTTAAAACTGACCTAAATGGTAAACAGCAGGAATGGGAAGCTGTAGTATTAATCCCCTTTATTGATGAGGTAAGTTCTTTCAGCATTTGCTGTCCATAAAAGCTGCATTACAAAACTTCTGAATTTCTTAATTTATCAACGGGTAGACATGCAGTTAAGTGGAAGTTTAAATTAACACTTTATAACACCACAGAAAAAAATATAAATGTTTGCTGCTTGGGGAGTAAGTCTAGATTAAGTAACCACAACCAAAGTTAGTTTTAGGGAGCAGAAGTCCTAAGTAATGGCTGTGAACTTGGTGTTGTTAATGTTTTTAAAACACCAGTAATAGGGAAGCATTAATGGAGAGCAATAGAAGGGTACTTTGCATATAGGATAACAGTGTTAGACAAGGCTACCCTTTGGAAACAGGCTTGCAGAAAGGTGATTATTCTCCAAAGCCATTCCATTGTAATTGTTCTGGGAGCATTTTGATCAGGGACGTGAGAAAGGGTGGGGCTGCAGCTGGACACTGAGCACATAGGGTATCTGGATTTCTTGGGTTACTTTCCCAGTGTAGTTTTCTCCATGCGTACTTTTGTTGCCAGTTTCGCATGTGCTAATTCCTCTAAAATTTAGAAACGACTGCTGCAGGCCATGGAATCCTGTAATAAGGGCCTAAAAGAAGAGGAGAAACGAAGAAACACTCACAGTGCTTGCTTGATGTACTGGTATGACAAAGATGCTGAGTTCCAGTACCTGTCACCATGGCCAGAGAAATTCCCTGCAATAGAACGATGCCACACGAGGTAATGCTGGAGTAACTGTTTTACAGCAGGCTAAAAGTAGTTAGAGGATTTTTAGATTTTTACTAACATTTTAACCAAACCTTGCATATGTCAATATGTAAACTCAGAAATGAAAAATATTTAATTAGATGTTGCCTGCTTTGGATAGCACAGTAAAAGTACTTGTCCCTCCAGATGTTACCTTGCAAAACAGATGAACCAGTGCTAAGTTGTCAAGAACAATCCAAAGAATGACTAAACTTTGTATGACAGAGAATGAAAGACTGGTACAAATATCTGATAAATAGTGATCATTTACTGGCATGCTAATTCCAGAGTGGGTTTTTTTAAATGTAAGCATTTGGATCCAATGCAGAGAATTAAACACAAATTTGTTTTTCACCTTCTCACCGAAAGTAGCCAGTTTTAGTTCACACAAACTGAAGATGAAATGGAAACATAAGCTTAACAGTAGTCAAGCTTAAAGCAGAGTAGAACAGGAATGCGTGTTGCTGGATTACAGTCGGTGAAGAATGGACAGTTGTGAAGATGAATGATACTATATAGAACCATTGCTAGTTAGAATTCAGTAATTACAATTATTTAAGAGTGAGTTTCCATCTATCCTGAAGTTTTGTCTTTTTTCGTAATGAATAGTCTCTCTGCAGCAGTAGCATGGGGATTTTATAGTCCTTTCTGTATATTCCAAGTGACATAAATTAGTTGCTGGAAAGCACAGAGTTTGTCAATTAATGAGTGAATGAGTAATGATTTTTTCTAGAGGTGTAGGTCAATCTGCATGAGCAAATGTTGTGCCACTTCTTTTTTAGGTATAAAACAATACCTTTGGATGCTTGGCATGTAGAAATAACCCACAATAAGATAACTAAAATCAACAAGAGTGCATTGTATTTTTGTGGATTTCCTACTTTAAAGCACATTAAACATAAGGTAAATGATTTTTCTCTTCCAACATTTCGATTGTATGTAGTAGATAACTATGTTAGAGCTTAAGTTTTATATTCTGTTTTGTTTTTACCCAGTTCTATCTTAAAAAAAGTGGTGTGCAAGTGTTTCAGCAAAGCAGCCATGGAGAGAACATGATGTTGGAAATCATAGTTGATGAGAACTCAAAGGACCAGGTAAGCATTCAGCTCCTAGCAAAAGACCAAAACCAAACAAAAAAAAAAAATCCCACAGCTGGACAAAATACTTACTAAGAAGTCTGAATTTTTTAAATGGTCAGATTTGAGGTGTTTAAATGCTGAATTTGTGTGGGAAACAGTCTGGAATTTTGGGTATCTGCTAAAATAACTTATTGTTTTCCAGACTTCACAGTATGAAGGATCAGTGTCCTTAGTTGAGTTTCTGGCCTTTCTCTGTGGTAGCATTTAGATGTTCTTGGGTAAGGAGCTGGTGGCTAATGAATGGTATAAATGCAGGGAAGCAGTCTCCAGGGCAGTGGTGTTTGTCTTTTGTCTGCCTGAAGAGATGACCACTTGAAAAGAAAAAGTGTTTCCTTTTAATCAACAAAGCAGACTTAATGCCTTCCACTCTAATGAGGCTCTTTGATAGGGAATCAGAGAGAAGAGTCAAAGTAGCAAATGACAAGTGCAGAACAGAAAAAAATTCAGAAGTAAATAAAATAAGGGAGATAGGAGGAAAACAATATAATATGATATGATTTTACAGTAGAGGGATAGGGAGAGTACATATTCAAGATACATGGCAAGAAAAATCAAGTAGGCCCAATGAATATCTTTAAAAAAGCGGAGACTCGTTAGAAAAAAAGAACATAATGTGAGGCTGAATTTACAGATGCTAGCAAGTTGTGGACATAAAAGTTGTTCCTTTTTTTCAATGTGATATATGAGTAAAATATATAATACAAAATGCTTTGGTAATCTCAAATGGTCATTTTATTTATTGTGTCTCAGAGACACAAATAGTTCTAAGTCATTTAACAAAAGAAGTACTTAGTAAACCTCTGTGAGACATTCAAATTATGCCAGGTCTTTCAAATAACACATGCAACATGTTAAGAGCCACATTTTTAATCAGGGATTATGTAATCTGTATCAGATATATTTTAGTAAGATAAAGTTAGTTTTTTATTCTGCAAGAAAATCTGTTATTAAACTACTGCAGTTTTTATTGCAAAAACAGCTTGAAAATACTGTAACAAAAATCTTCTAGTATGTTAAACAATTAGTAATAATACTTCTGGGGTTTTTTTCAGGTGGTAGAAAATGTTGCCAGTTCGATACTTGGAAAGCGAGTTTTTGTTAACTGGCCCCACCTTGAAGAAGCCAGAGTTGTTGCAGTGTCAGATGGAGAAACTAAGTAAGAGTTACATGATATGTAGTTCTTTGTTGTCTTACTGTTTTTTTTTCAAATTAAGTTCCTTGGGCTGCACAGAAATTTTAATTTTATTGTAAAACTAGCTACCAGTTAGTCCAGATGTAACAAAGCTGCTTGGTGAAGAATGTTTAACATTGTTCTGAGGTTTGCTTGCCTTTGTAGCAGTCTAGTCTTTCACTGTTTGTCATAGATGTAGAAGCTTGGGAAGAGCTCCTTCTTAGTTTTGAGGAGAAAAGGCATGCACAGAAATCCACACAGTGAACATTTCTATACAATCCTCCTTTATGAATAGCATATGTACTGGTATTTTGTATTAAAAACATGCTGTGGCCCATTGTGGAAGGGATAGAGAAAACTGCTGCAAGTCTTCACATCCTTAACAAGTCATTTCTAACTGTTTTCAGTTTTGCTCACAATTGGTTATGGCTTGGTTAATCTTACTTGGTTAAATTTCCTATCTGTCATAATATTCTCCAGGTTTTATTTGGAAGAACCACATGGCACACAGAAGCTTTACATGGGAAATGCAGTGCCCCCAACCAAAGTGGCTTATGTTGGAGATAAGGAGCAAAGCATGTGGGTAAAAGAAGTTCAAGGCATTTCGGAGCAGTAAGTAACTTCAAAAATTAAAGTGTAGCTTTGCATTTTATGTCTTGGCTGTGTTTTGTTCCTGTATTGCAGACCTAAGTAGCACAGAAGAGCTGCTGCATACTTGATGATAAAGGTTAATCAAGTCTGCTTAAATTTAAAACAACAACATAAAAAAGCTTATGTTGAAATTTCAGAATATATGGAGTCTGTTCTGAGGTAACTAAAGTTAGATGCTGTTACAAAAGAACTCTAAAGTGAATGAGTTTCAGTATTTATTCTCCCTCTCAATTTTCTCTTCTGGTGTTAGCAATCTTCAGTTGTAGGAAGCATGTAGAATGAAGTAATACAGAACCAACTTGCCACTCAACTAGCTTAGCTTTGTTAAATTTGAAAACAGCTCTTGCTCTTCTAGAGTATGGGTGCTCAGTAGACTATAAATGAGTTACTGTGGTTTTGATGCCTCCTTGCTGGTCCTAAAGTCACGAGCCAGACCCAGTTATGTGATAAAAAGGGGGGACCTGTCTAAGGATCCTTAGGTGCCCAGCACACTAGCTGGAAAGCACCTGAAGATGCACCTGGAACATAAAGCACACACAATTGTGTGTTTAGCCAATTAGCATAACTGACAAGAATCCCCAGTTAGAGACATAAGTGATGAGGTAATTCCCCCTCAGTTCAACCCTTTCTGAATTCCTCCCTCCCACCCTCCTTAGACAGGAACTAAGCTTTGTTTATGAAAATGTATCTTGGGGAGCTGGTTTCAGCCTTGGCTTCCCAGAGAATCTAACCTTGGACCTCCAGCTTGGAGATGCCAAGGAATTTATTTTGTCTTTCTGTCTAACAGAGTAGGTAAAATGCCAGCTATGAATACTGTGACGGGCTAGAGAGCTACAAATGTATATGTAAAGATTATAAAGAATATATAAAAGCAAAAAGGCAAAAATCAATCTGGCACCAGATTGGCATCTCATTATCTGTCACTTGAGTCAACTGATTTAATTACCCCTAACCCTTCTACTGTAAAGATTAAATGTGCTTAAATTAATACTCTGAGCTCTGTAGTGATGGCTGTGCAACAGCAGGTAAACAACTGGTTAAGCCATTTATTCTGGGTATTTTTTGTAAAATAAGAAAACTATTAGAAGCCTCTTTTAAAGAGGTTTTTTTTTGTTTTATTTAATTTTACTTCAATAAATTAATTCTACCCTCTTGGTTCAGTTCTGTTTATTGTAATCAAGCTAAATGTTCTGCTTTGTATTCAGGTACCAGAGAAGGAAAGGAATAATTATCCATGAAACATCAGTAGTGGTATATGCTCAGTTACTCACTGGTAGTAGGTATCAACTAAACCAAAATGGAGAAGTTTATTTGGAGAAGCAGTGGTCTAAACAAGTTCTTCCCTTCGTTTACCAAACAGTTGTCAAGGTAAATATACAAGTTCAGTACCTTCTCTGAATTATTTCAAACTCAGACTATGTTTTAAACTGTCTATTTATATAAACTTTGTAATTACTCTACTGGAACTGAATGATGTTTAAGATCACCACTATTGTCTCTTTCATGTAGGATATCAAGGCCTTTGACTCTCGTTTTTCAAGCATCAAAACTTTGGATGATTTGTTTCCTCCTGGAAGTACAGCCTTCATGCTGGGATCTCCTTACTATGGCTGCATGGGAGAAGTTAGTTCCAGTAATTTCATAATTTTTCCCTGTAGATTTTTTCTTTTTGTAAACCTAAAATAATCTAAGATGCTGTGTGACAGTAGTGACCATTTGCTAGCTGAAATTTTTAATCTAGGATTCCCTGGTGGTTTAGTCTGAGCAAAAGAGGGATCTTGTGTTTTCCCTGTTCTTCTACTTGTGTAAGAGGAAAAAACAGAACTTGAATGCAGGATTATTTTTATTAGTTCATTGGGATAATACATAAAGTTCCCATTTGTGTTATTTTCAGTCATGAATTCCTTTAGTTTAATGCTGACTTATTGGCTCTGAGGAAGCAAGGTACAGGTCAAGGCAAGGTGATGAATCTCAGAGCATCCCTGTGCCTACTGCAGCAGAGTTGTTGATAAAGTAGAACATGAGGTGTGTTATCCAAAGACTGCTGTTTTTAAATAGTGCTTTTCTAGCACTTGTAACCTATTGTGTTTCTCTCCAAGGTTCTTGATTCACATGATGTGATCCCAGAAGGCAGAATCCGTGTAGTTTTTAATATTCCCTGTGAACCCCAGCTTGATACTTTAATACAGAACCAGCATGTGAGTGCTTCTGCTTTTCTAGTAAAAGCTTAAACAATGTATCAAATAGATTTTGCAATGGTAAATGTCTTTCAGAGATGTTTCCATGTAATTCATTTGCATTTGTATAAAAACTCCTTTAGACATTGCCAATATGTTTTGTTTGTTTGTTTTAAAGAAATATTCTGTGAAATACAATCCTGCATATATTTTGGCCAGCCGTCTTGGAGTAAGTGGATATCTTGTCTCCAGATTTACAGGGAGTATCTTTATTGGAAGAGGATCAAAGAAGAAGTAAGTTCTTTTTGTGAATTTTGACTGTAGAGAAGCTTCTAAATTCTGCTATAACTACAGAATTTTTGCTGTGTTTAAGTGCTGTTATTTTCAAGTGCACACTCTTGTGATTTGAAGCTTTCTTTAAAGTATATTTTCTGTAAACTAAGTTGATATGCAGTGCTTTTTTTCTATCAGAAGCATGTTTTAATTTTTTGTTTACTGGACAGTTCTGTTTGCTTTCATATTGTAGACAGACATAAAATTGACTTTCCTGGTTAGCCATTTCCAAAAGTGAATTAGGAGTTTAAACTGACTTTGCCATACTGAGAATAAAAAAGTGGAATCAGGATCTCATTTAATTGTATTTATTACTGCTACTATAAAGGGAGATTAATTTTACCTGTAGCTTCTTTTCAGAACTAGTTAAGACTGCTTAAAATACATAAAGGAGGCAATCCATGCAGTCCTGTGAATGTCAAATTGTGGTTCCTCTGTAAAGAAATGGTTGATGGATGCCTTAGCATCTTCTTGTGATTTAATGTGTACATTTCTTCCTGATGGATTGTTCAAGGACATCCTTCTGCACCTTGGGAAGTGCTAAGTTGATTGTGGTTGATTAGATCTCAATTAAGGAAGAAATGTAAAATATTTCCTACCCTCCTCTGCAAAGAACTATGTGCACACAGGTGGACAGCTGGCATAGCACAGCTTTTGCCCTGTGACATTTACAGATGACACAATGTCAACAAGTAAACAATACAATGAATTTAATTTTTCTGTGTTTTAAGGCCTTGAATGCATGTTTATGAGGGTTTTTTAAATGTATGTAAATACACACACATACTGCAAGTTAATGAACTTTTTCTTCTTTCCAGTCCTCATGGTGATCACAAAGCAAATGTGGGGCTAAACCTGAAGTTCAACAAGAAAAATGAAGAAGTTCCTGGCTATACTAAGAAAGTTGGAAATGAATGGATGTATTCTTCTGCAGTAGAACAACTACTTGCTGAGTATTTAGAAAGGTAAATGATTGGATATGAGCTTCATCCAAATTACCCACCTTTGTATCAATTGTAGGGATTTGTCCTCTTGTCACAGATCTTCTAAGAACAATGAGTTTGTTTCTTTTATTCCAGTGTTCTATTTTGGGATAGAGTAATTGTGTTAGCAGCTTGCCTTTGGAAATTTAGCAGTATGATACTAAATTAAGTAAAAAATAACCCATCTGGGCTTTACAGTTTTTGAAGCCCAGCAGACTTGATTTTGATGCGACTTTTTTGTGGTCTATGCTGATGTGAAACTAAAGTTATCTTCCATATTTTTGGGGGGTTTTAGGGTGCCTGAACTATTTAATTATGTAGCCAAGAACAGCCAGGAAGATATCTGCTATGAAGATGACATTTGGCCTGGAGAGGATGAGAATGGGTAAGCCATGGTCCTTATCTCTTTTCTACAATAAGGAGAATAAAGACTGACAGTTGTGAAGTTGGTAATGATTGTGCACTGGCTGCTGTGTAACTGAAACCTTGCTGTTCCTCCAGCAGCTTGATTGTTCAGTGATGGCTGAAAGCATTATTTGAATGCTGTACTTTTCAGTCATGGAGTCTAAGTTTCTGCCAGACTTCAACCTCAAGTCCAGTAAATGAGAAATACCATTTTCAGTGGCAATTTCATAATTCTTGCTTTTAAAATAGCCTACTGTAAGCACAGCTATGACCAGTCATAAATAATTTTTTTTTAAATAACCAATAATTGTGGTAAATGTCTAAAACCACTTGGAATTTGAAAAATAAATCCTACAGAGTTTGAAGTATTTTGCACATTTTTAGTATACATTTACATGGGAGAAAAATAGCAGCCTTGGTTCCAGACACAGTATGGTAACTTGAAAAAGCTTTATTTATTAGGCAATAAACCAAATCCATTGGCTTCAGTCAGTAAATCTGCAGGACTCTTACCTTGTGGTACACCAGTGTGGGACTCCTCTTGTAGAAGAATTTCAGATTTTTATTCCATTTTACCAAAGAGTCTTCCCCTGTGAAGTTCTTTCTTCCTGTGTTGTGAGAAACAGCTGGTCACAGAACCAGTAATCACATCTGGACACAGTTGGTTGGTTGGATGCAAGCTTAATTTGCTGAATGCTTTTAATTACTATAATAATTTTTTTTTTCCTGAAACACAGCTTTGTGTTATAGTTTTGAAACAGTACTGTGTAATTCTGTCTTAAGTCATACAGAACTTTTAGATTCCATTACTTGATGAATATCTACAATCAGTGTGCCTGTATGATAATACTTGACTGATTAAATTAGGGAACACAGTAAAATGCCTGGTTCATGCAGCTAAAAGCTTTCATTCATGCCATTTTTTATTCAGAGCCGAGAAAGTGCAAGAAATTGTTGCCTGGTTAAAAGCACATCCTGTGTCTGCTTTGTCTCGTTCATCTTGTGACTTGCAAATTTTGGATGCAGCCATTGTTGAGAAAATTGAAGAAGAAGTAGAGAAATGCAAGGTACACAGCTTGGTGTCATTGTGAGCAGGGGTGGAACCAAAAAGCAGTGCTCATTATTTTTGAGGTTCTTGAATTTAAATAAGACAATTGAAGATTACTTGCCATTCCAAAGAACAAGGACACAGAATATAATGTAAAATCTGGATTTGTAGTATTATCCCAGAAATTCAGAAGAGCACATTATTAATCTTTGTGAGAAATTCACTCCTTTAGCGATGATTTATCAGCAATGGTACGTACTCTGAGCTGTGCCTTTTGGTGGTTTTGTAAAGGAGCATGTATCAGTACATATTGAAAATATTAAAATGGTCTTTTTGTTTGAAATCCCAGCTATTCTTCCCTTGCAGTTTCTCTTTGGTCTGCACAAAATTTAAAGGTTTTTTTCTGAAGGCCACAGATGAAAAAAGTGGCCAAGGAAATTACTAAAGTAAAAGCTAGGGACAAAGCCAAATGAAATCATGGGCTGATGTTTTTTGAAACAACTTGCAAGGACATCTTAGAAAATTGGTGTGAAATCTGTAATTAGACAACTAATGGTTTGGTATGAAATCCAACATGCTTTAAAAACTAGACTTATTCTTAAGACTTCATTAAAGTCTTCTATAAAGACTTCTATACCATTATCTAAAAGAAGTAAAAAAACTCTACATGATCTTTTCAGGAGCTTTGTTTTACATATTCCAGTGCTTGTTCTACACTGGTTTGTAAAGACTTTCTGTTCCTTTCCTTTAGCAGAGGAAGAGCAACAAGAAGGTGCGAGTAACTGTGAAACCCCATTTGCTGTTCAGAGTAAGTGATGTCAATGGGTTGGGGGGGGGTTTAAGTTCTCCAGATCAAATTTATTTTACCTAAGCTTACACACATAAGGAGAATAGAATTTTATGACAGTATTGATGAAACGAAACGTGTTGTTATGCCTTCTAGAAAATAATTTTGCAAACAGCATTCTGTCTCTACAAGGAGAGAGAATTTCTTGTAACTACAAACTCCATTATGTCAGGCACTGACTTAAAGGTTTTTTCTGCCCTTTATACTTCTGCAGTTTTTACTGGCTCTATAAGGAAGGCAAAATAAAATGGGCTTTCTGCTGTCTCTTTTCCCATGTTTTACTTTTTATTCAGTTCTTCACATAAGACCAACTGTTCCTCTTGCCCATGTTACTGATACAGGCAGGTTACATGTGATGTTTTAGTTCTGTCTGAATTGATCAACTAGTGTACAGCACATTTTCAGGCAGAAGCATTAGTGAGAGTTGCAAGGGGAGAAAAAGAAGATTTGCTTTGAATCTGGAGAGGGAAGGTTTTTATTCTTTGGGGGGAGGGGGTTTCCTAGGTTTTTTTTTCCCCAGCGAGTTTACTTTATAGTGTGTCTCAGATATTGTTATAAATGCATTTTTATTGTAATTCTGATTGTTTTGCAAACATGAACACAGTCTCTTGGTTATTGGCAGCCATTAGAACAGCAGAAGGGGGTTGTTCCAGATCGAGATGCAGAGTACAGGCTGTTTGACCGAGTTGTCAATGTCAGAGAGAACTTTTCTGTTCCTGTTGGGCTACGAGGCACCATCATTGGAATTAAAGGAGGTAATTTTTTTCTTTATGATTATAACCACATAACAGCTCAGCTAGTACTAGGAAAGCAGGGTTCAGAATAGGGCTTAATGTAATGGTTGTGAATGCACATATTTCTTGCTATGAAGCATATGCAACTTGAACCTGTTAATAACATATTTATTGTTTTGAATAAAACCTACCTTGTGTTTTAATTTCATGTGTTACACAGCTGTTATTTGAAAAAGAAATTACTTACCCTATGGTCCCTTCTTTATGAATTAGAAATTACTCCTTGTTTCTTCTTAATATGAAGAAGGCAGATCAGAAAGGAACAAAATGAAGTTATGGAAAAACATAGGCAAAGTTAAGTGGAGTAGACATAAAACCAATATTAACCTTAATACTTACATCGAACATAAAGCAAATCAAATGTGATTTGTCTTGATTAGTTTTACTTTGAATTTGTGTTTTTATTCTGTAATATTCCATTTCCATTAAGGTTGGCATAGATTTATACCTTGTTTGACAAGAAAATTAACCATAAATCTATTTCAAGAAGGATTTTTTGATCCCTACAGAGTGTAGCAGTTTCAGATGGAGTATTAAAAATGGTTTTCTTACCTGCCATTTCAGTAGCTGCTTTCTCATTCGGTTTGCATCTAACAGAATTTCAAAGAGACTAGACTAGAGTGCAGTTTAAAAAAAGTACTCTTTTCTCCATAGTTCTTAAATACTACTATAATTTTGAAGGTGTATTAGTCTATCATTATGCAAGAAGTTAATATTAAAGCTGTTAATTTCTGACTGCCGGAATGTAGAAGTGGCTTGCATCTCTTTCTGCCAATTTCTGACAAGGGTGTCATAATGCTATAAACTGCAGTTCTGTAAATGCACATGGGTAAGGTGCAATGCATGGTACATTACTGTTGAAACTGTATCTTAAAGGGCAGACATATGTGAGACCTTTAGAAGCATTTCCAAATTCCTGTTAATGAAAATACTCAGAAATTATTTGGAGGTCTGTTGTTCATTTTTAGTCTTTGCATTATTTATTGTATAACTAGTATAGTAGATATTTACATAATATAGATGGACATAACTGCATAGGATGATGTTGTACTTTGTTTTTTGTAGCTACTAGAGAAACAGATGTGCTCTTTGAAGTTTTGTTTGATGAAGAATTCCTTGGAGGCCTCACTATCAGGTTTGTGTGGCAGAGTTCGGATTCGATTCATGCTATTGGCATAGATGGCATGGAATTGTTGGCTTTGGTTTGGTTGAGTATTTTTAATGCCTCTTCTTGAAATTTTGTTTCTTGGCAGTGTTGGTCAGTTTTTATTTCTTTTGTGGGTTTTGATTCTCTTTGAGTAGTGATAATTTTTTGTGAAGCGTGTTATATGGGGGAAATGCTCTATAGGCTTTTTTGGTTTATAAACTTCTGACTTGCAGAAAGAAAATATGAACCAGCAGAATAAAGCACCAGATGCAGATGTCTTTCTAAAAAAAAAATGTAGAAAATAGGTTTTTACCAGTATGTATTTGACATGTAGATTAAAAACCAGGCAGAAGGCATCTGTTCCTCTGAAGGAGGAACTCTGAACTCAATAGTTGATAGTTAGACACTAAATTCCTACCATTAAAAACCTGACCTGTTTTTCAGGAGGTGGAGGTGCTTTTGTTTTGAAGTAAACACCTAAACTTAGATATACCCTGCAGGCTTCATTTTTACTGTTCTTACCTAAGGTTTCAATGATGGAAGTTAGAGGAAATTCTTCCCTACTACCTGCATTCAGCAATTATAGCCCTTACATGTCCTGTAACACAGATAATACTCCGTGTTCAGAAATGCTGCTTAACTTCAATTTGTAATTCTGCTACTGAACCTGAAACTTCAATTTTCATTTCTGAAAAAATAAAAGAATATTGTTTTCTGGTTCTTTTACAGAAATATTTACTACAGAACTGTGCTATAACAATTCACTCATCTTAAAAATTTCTTTAAGCTTGGCACTGAAAGGTACAATATAAACTGAGAGTAGTGCTAGTTACTGTTTGACAGCCAGAGGGCAAAGGGAAGCCATGGGTTTCAGGTTGTCTGCAATGCTACTAGATTTCAATATTGCATAGTTTCCAGCTCTGTTATTCAGACTTGAGTCATTGTCTTTTGGCAACAAAATTAAGTGCATGAAACAACTGTGGAATTTTTTTCTCAAGGTGCTCACCTGCCAGAGGTTATCGCCTGCCCTCAAGTGCCTTAATTAACCTGTCTCATGGTAGTCGGTCAGAAATGGGAAATCAAAAGCTGATGGCCATAGTTAAACCTCAGCCAGCAGTGAATAACTACAACTCATATGCATCTGATCTGTCATCTGTATGCTCACAAAAAGTGCATCTGGGAGGCCTCAACCATTCTCCTCGTTCCCTTTTTGTTCCTACCCAAGTAAGACTTTTCTCGCATTTGTACAAAAATGTTTTTCCCTAGAATCTGAAATATTGACGTGGTTATCTTCGTTGGTACAAACTAAATTTAGTTTTTATGTCAATATATTAAAAGTAGAATAATTGTTATGCTGGAGAAATGAATTAATCTAATAATGAAAAGGACTAAAATTTCCTTATTGACAGTGGTTTTGCTCTGAGTAACTCCAATTGCTTTTCTGAGAGACAGATACTTAGTTTGGAGCAGTGACACACTATTTGGTGTCAGATAGTGTGTTTGCACAGAGATGCAATTATTTCCTTAAAGCTTTGATCCAGTTAATGCTTCCTTATAGGCTCTTTGTCCATGCATAGAAAAGGAAGGCATGATTTCCCTATCAGTTTTGCTTCTTGGTTATAATTTACTTTGAAACTACAATAAAGGAGGAAAAATTACAAGTTTTGAATTGAGTTTCTTGGTGGTTTAGTGACACTTTATTTTTTTAACAAGAGGCTTCTTTAAAGAAACCTTAATTAATAACTTCATGTTGCTGTAGGTGTGTTTGAAAACAGTTATCTCATGTTTTTCAAGTCTATACAAGAAAAAGTACTTTCCAAAAGAAAATGTAGGACAATGAAGCACTTCTGATTTTGTTTTTTCCTCTCTCTCAATGATTTAGCAACTGAATGGACGACAGCATTACAATCTCAGGGCTGAAAATCAGGGCAACTCTAACTCACCCCAGAAAGGATCATTTCTGAGTGGCAATCAGAAAAATAAAGTGAGTGTTCGGATTCATTTACTATCGGACCCAAATGTCTCTGTTTTGGCCCTCTGTTCAGGGTGGGTGTCATTTTCTCATGATTAATATATTGCTTTGTTTTAGTACATCACATGTTGTAGTTCAGATACAGACTGGAGCAGAAATGCTCTCAATTGTTGAATGAATATAATATCCTGTGTTATCCTTGTTTAGATACTAGATTTTTTAAAGTGTTTTTTGCATAGCTGGGCTTCAGTTCTGCAATAACATACCTGTAATGAAGTAATTGAACCTTGCTGTCAAGGCCTTACAAAATAAATCATTAATAATACAATCTAAGAATACTCCCAGTATGGAAGCATGCTTTTGAAGCCATTCTGAACTGTTACATGAGTTTCATTATACTTAATCATCAAACTAACTTCATTTCACTTTAGTAGTGATTCTTGGTAAAAATTGTAACTGCAATCCACTACCACAGCATGTTTCATAATTAATTACCTGAAACTTACACTAGTGTCAGTATGAAAATATCTGTCATCTTGACAGATCTTGAACCTTACAATTTCCAGAATGTCTTGGTATATACTTGGCTGTTCAAAAGTTGAATTTATTGCTGCTGAGTTTGTCTGGGGTCTTGTTTTTTTTATTTTGTCAGGCACAGAGTAAGCAAGATGATGAATTCTGCAGCATATGGCAGTCATTGCAGAGTTCTGGGAAGTCTCATCACATTCAACAAAACATGCATGAGAAGGTTTGTAAAGAAACTTTTAACAGATCTCTGCATTCAAAATATGGAGGTACTTAATTTCATATATCAGTTCATTGTATCAGAAAACTTGATGTTACAAATAAATCCTCTGGATGCAAGTGGTGTTACATGGAGTATGCATAGCTCTGGAAAGGGGTGATCATAGGACAACTACTATGTAAATAATAAATACTCAGTTTTCTAGTTAAGCTTTGATGTTTGAAACCCTAGGGTGCACTTCTACCTCAGGAAATCAAGCTGGGACCTGGCCATCAGTTTCATAAGCCAGGCTTCAATGACGGCAGCTTTAAATGTCAGCAAAGAAAACAGGAGCCTTATAAAAAATGTAAGTACTATTGTTAGAAACTTTGCTTAGGGGAACTACTTGCTTTATCTGACCTTCATTGAATTGTCTGAAGAGCTTTATTCTTTTTTTGTAGTTACTGACAGGAAATAATTTATTTTAGTTTTATAAACACTACTTTGCGCTTGTTATTGTCAAATAATGTCCCTGGTGTGTATATTAGATTGTTCCACACGTAATCCCAAACCTTTTAGGTAAGTTGTTCTGTGTTCTGTTGGCTTGCCACCTATCTAATATAAAAACCAAACAAAAACCATGTGTGTCTTTGAAAATCTGCTTGTGATCATATTTCTAGAATAGAAAATAAGATATATTATTGGATGTACTTAATTTTACTTTATCCTAGAAGAAAAGCATACACCAAATTACCTATGAAGCAAAAATTAAGCATTTGATAAAACCATTCTCATTAATGCAACTCTGTGTATTTGTATGGAGTTACTAATTGTTTTATGTCTTGACTATTACTGTTTTTAAGAGCATTTTAAAATAATGCATTCTTTTTTAGTTAAAGAAGAATCCAAAACTACAAGAGGTGAAAGTCAACCACATAATAAAATGTCAAACCAACAGGTAATTTTGTCTGTACTGAGTTAATCTATTCTTTTCATTTTACTCTCGATGTGATTTATCATGTTACAGATTTGTCTTTAACTGTCATCTTCGTTGATTTTTTTAGTCAACAAATTTGTTTTGGAGATTTTTTTTTTATTAGAGGTTTATAGACAGAATATGAGAGAAAGAGCAATAAATATATGATGATACAAAACAACTGTACTATTCCTTTTAGATTCTAAAAGCTATGCTGTAATGGGAAAACACAAATTCTAGGTGTTCGATAAGCTAAAGTCCTCTAAGAATATTAGCTTGTGAAAGCTCTTTGCAGCTGCATTTCTAATATGATTGTGTTATAATGAGTAATAGAGTATTCAGTAATAATGGCTGCAATTTTGCAATTTATTTCAGAATTTTGCAGGTGTGAGTAAGTACAATGTCAAGCTTTTGAAGAGGAATGGAAGTCCCAACACGCCTTTAATTCAGAAGGCTGCAGTTGATGGTCCCTGCCCAGGTGGAAAGGTAGGATCTAAGGAGTTGACTGTCTTGTGCTCTTTGAGTAAATTCAGTTTCCAGTCCATTTTGTTCCAATTGTTCCTGGTTACTTGTGTGCAAATTCATGTTTAAAAAATACAATAAACCTGTGTAACTTAATTGTTCTTTAAATCGATTCTATCAATTTTAATATGCAGAACTTGATGAGGTCTCTGGATATCTGTTCACACTCTGAACAGACATGACTGTGACCTGCCCAACCTAAGAGAGGAAAAATCTGAATGAGAATAAAATGAACCTCAAATTGATATATCCTTCCTCTTGCATCTGCTTATAAATACACTTAGTTGATGTACCTTTTCTTCTTCTTTAATTTTAGAAGGACAATGAACTGGAAAGGCTTCTAGCTTCTTTGAAAATTCCCAAAGAAAATGAAGTGCAGACTTATTCCAAGGAAGCAAGAGCTACAAACGAGGAACATCTGTCACCACAGTCATTTGCTATGGTCTGTATACTGCAGGAATCATTACATTGCAGTTTAGCATCTGTGTCTTAGCATCAGTGCTTCTATTTAAAGAATCTCCATGAAACCTCATACTGCTTTTTAAAATGTATTAATGATTTTTAATTAGCTATTCTCAAAGAAAATTAGCAAACATCTTTGTTTATGCTAAGATGCTGTTACCTTTGCTTTGATAAAATATAACTGATTAGAAAATAAAAAGCCAGATTCTGTTGCCAATTATGATAACCAATAGATAACCAGCCAGAAGGTCATGTTGTCTGGATTCCAGCATGTTCCTGAGTGGTTTATTTTATTTTTAAAGAAAGGAACACAGATGCTGAAAGAGATTTTGAAGATAGATGGCTCAGATCTGCAAACAAAGAATGAAGTGAAATCACAAGTTAATGATGTTCCTGCTCCCTCTAGTAGACAGGATTGCCATGGAGCTGCTGTGCAATACAGACCAACCAAAAAAATGGGTATGTGTAACCATCAGCTCATAATTCAGAGCTTCACCTTGTAGTGACATTTTAGAACACAGTTTCAGCAGGATACTGTTTATCAAAATATAGTAATACAATTTCCATTTTTTTAAAATTCTACTTCTGTATTTAGATCCAAAACTCTCTTCAGCTATAGTCTCTTGGTTTTTGTTAAACAATATGAAAATACCAGGGAAGAATCAAAAAAAACTTTTTTTTTTTTTTTTTTTTTTTTTTTTTGCTATTAACCAAGTTACCATCCTTTTAGTGAAGGAAATAATTGTGATACAGCTTTTTTTTTTTCTTTTTGTCAGCTGCTTATATGAACAAGCATAGCCCTGGAGGGCCCCAGAACACACCAGCAATAGAAACTGGAGGCCACCCTTTCCCTTGTCCACAGCCTGCACTCTCTACTGTTTCTGAGCTTTCTCGTGTTTGTTCTCTTCTTGGAATGTCACAACCAGATTTCTCTTTCCTAAAAACACCACAGGTAAAATGTTTTTTCTGCAAAAGTACAAGTTCTCAGTTTTCGATCAACTGTTCTATATTAAACATTTGGACTGACTGCTGAAATCTATCTGAAAATAAACCTTAGCTCCCTTTGTTGCCTTTTTTAAAAACAAACAAACAAATCTCTGTTTCTGTCTCACAGTTTGTTAGCAATACACATTGCCTCAAAAATCTTCTGTCTATTTTCTAGACCATGACAGTTTGCCACATAAAGCTGTCCAATGGTTTGTTGGTTCACGGCCCGCAGTGTCATTCCGAGGCTGAGGCAAAGGAGAAAGCTGCGCTTTTTGCTTTACAGCGCTTGGTGAGGATGGGAAAAATCTCTTCAAATCTTTGTCTCTGTGCACTGCATCTGTTGGTAAACCTCTGTTTCCTTCCTCCTAGGGTTCTATAGGAGTAAACTTTGCTTCGCCTCCGCCTCCAGCAGTGTTTCCAAATTACCAGCCACTAGGAGTTCCTGTACCACCTGGATCAATTCCTCCAGTATTTGCACAGCCCCCTGGTAGGTGTTTGACCAGTACACATTGCAAATAATATCAATATATCCTCTAATTATGGTGGTTCTTTATATGAAAATTAATGCTCTCCAGAAAGCCCCATTTTCTGGTTTTCACATGTACTTGTATGTCTGAACAGTTTTGAAAACAGTTCATGATCCTCTTTGCATCAATGTGCAGACTAATTCAGTATGAAGAAACATCTCTGTTAATGATTTCCTCAATAATGTATTGATCTATTCAGTCTTAGGTGCTTTTTCCATTTTTTTTCCTTCAAAACAACAGTAATTACTTGAAAGTAGATAGTCCCAGTCCAGAATTTGTGAGAAATAGCCTCCTTGATTTTTTACATGGATTTTCCCCCCATGCCATGTAGTTAATGTTTCTCCATGCAGTACTGTTATTATTCATCTATTACCAACTTTCACTCAAGTGCTACATCACACTTGTACACTGCCAAACATGAGCATGGTGAGTAACTCCCCAAAAACTGCTAAAAGTCCTGCTGCTGTTGTTTTGTATTCTGGCTCCCAGTTGGTTTCTATTTTACTGAAGTTCCCATCACAACTAGCAGTTAATGAGTCAGCACTGCTGTAACATCCTAGAAACTCATACAGCAGCTGCTACATCTTTTCCATGGTGTTTGTCTGTTGTTGCTGTGTTCCAAAATGATGGCCTAAACTTGCAGCTTTCTGCTAATACATTTGGCTCAGCTGAAGTGTGGAGATCCCACATTATGTGCACTCTGGAATGCAGATACCATGACTTTACTGCTCTTATTTGTGTTGTTATTTAGGTGTAGTTCTCTTTGTTTGGGGGCTTTTGATAATAAATAAATAAATATTTAGCTATTTTGAAGTAAATATAAAGCATATGAGGCTTTGCTGGAAAGGTAAACAACATGCAGACAGCTGTAGTTAGAGTAGTCCTGGGCTCTTGGCAAGTTTGGGTTTTTTGTTTGTTTGTTTATGGGTTTTTTGAGGGAAGAGAGCTAAAAGTTTCTTGTTTTCATAGCTAATATGATGCCTCCATCGTCGCACATGTTTGGTCCAGTGTCCTGGAGTACTCCAGTGCCTAAGCATTATTATCCTGGCACCTACCCAGGAAATGTGTCTCTTGCAGGAACTATACCAGTTGGTTCTCACAACCAGTTTATACCTCTGCAGGTAAGAGCAGCAGGTTTGTCTTAATGTTGTATTTTTGTAAAACAATGTGACTACAAGATTAATACAACAACACCCCCATTGTGAAGTAGTATTTAGTGTTAGAAAATTATTGTTAAGATATGTATGCATGTTTTCTGAAAGTGGAATATTTGCAGTTTTTTGAAAATGCATTCTGTTAAATAATATTTATTTAATTTAAAGGTAACTAAAAAAAGGGCTGCTAGCAAGAAAAACTTTGAACTCAAGGAGTTTCAGAGTTCCCCTCAAGCTGCACCACTAAAGAATGAACAGCCAATGTCTTCTGACCACATTCAGCAAGATAGTTCTTCAGCTCCTTTAAAATCTCCTCAAGCTGCTCAGTCCACTGTTTCATTTCAAGACAATGTGGCTACTCCAAGTGTTCCTCATAACAAATCAACACCAAACACTTCCAGCAAGCGAAAGCCAAGAAAACTGGCTGTCAATTTTGGCGCACCAAAATCTTCAGAATAAATCTGGTAGCTAGGTGTATTTTATCTTTAATTCTTTCCCCACTGTTATGTTCTCTCATTTAAAAAAATCAGAAATCTCTATTAAAAAGACCAGCCACTTTAAGTATAATATAGAAGGAAATACATTTTATTTGCTATGGTTTTCAGGTTGTCATTAAAACCATAAAAATTATGTTAAAAATTTGTTTTATTTTCACCTAAATTAGCAAAAGCCAGGAAAACCTGAGTTAGGGTTGCCATGCCATCCCTTGTGCCTAGGTTTCTAAACAGTGGCTTACAGACAATATTGGGTAAGCAGCAATAACAGTGGCAGCCTTAACTCAGGTTGGATGTGCTTTTTGAGAGGGATGTGGAACAGTAATAAGTTGGGCATCTAACAGTGTTTAGCATGACATTTTGTACTCTAGCTTGATTTTAAATAGTGTAATAAGACAGAAAGTAAAAATTATTTAAATGCAGTTTTTATATTGGCACTCCAGGTCCTTTTGAGTTGAATCAGTGTAACAAAAAGCTGACTACAAAGGAACTGCCAAATCCACTCTAAGTAGGAACTGCTGGGTTTTGTACTAGAGGGCAACAGCTTTACAGCTTTCCGAACATAGGTGTTATTGTGTGTCTGGTAGTGGAGTGGCAAAACTGGTTGCTGTTGCACAATCTGTTCCAGGAGATTAATTTATAGGATGTGTTGAATAAAAAAAAATATATTTGCAAAGTAGAGATCCCTTTAGTAAAGTACATTTAACTGTTTTTTAATCTACCAATTTACTTGTTTTCTGATGATAAAATAACAAAGTTATCTAATAGCATAGCCTCCTAAATGCTAGTGATAGCTTGGTTTTTTTTCCTAAACTATAAAAATGGCCAGACAAAAAGACAACCCATTTTGCTGGATGGCTGTCAAAGTTATGTTTACTTAGAGTCCATTTCTTCCTCTAATAGCCTGTGCCCTGAACCCTTCTCTATAGTATTATTTTTTTTTTGTTACTAATGACTTTTAATATTTATTTTTTTACTTTTTTGAGAGAATTTCTGTGTTGCAAAATTAAATTATCAGGAAGTGTTGCTATTGGTTCCATAAGAATATTCAGACAAAAAGCTGACTTGAATTTTTGGACAGAACTATGGGATTCTTTGTTCATATAGGAAAAAAAGAAGGCTCAGAGCTCCTTGTATTCTTTTTAACCCACATGTACCAATCTTATGGACATTAATATAAAATCTTCAACTTAAGAAAAAATTTGAAACCTCTGTTGGTGCTGCTTACTGGCATCGATTAAATTTCATTTTTCATCTGTTCTAGAAAAAGAAGTATTTTTTCTCTAAGGCCCAGGAACCAGAAGTAAAGCAGTCTTGAGTGATTTATTTTGTTGCTTCTGAACAGGTTTCATTCTGGGTCTGCAAGTCCATAAACTTTCTTTCATATGTTTTTTTGTCTCCATTTCCTGGTGTAGTATGAAGTTTCACATTATTACTGTGTTACGGTGTTCCTTAATTTTCATTTCTCCAAAACAGTTGTTGGCTCAGCAGTATTTGTTGAATAGCAGCAAGCCCTATAAAAAGGACCACAGAGGTAGAAACAAGATTAAGAAATTTTATTTTACTTAATATCACAAAACTTGTGGAATAGACTACATATAGTCTGAGATCACATTGATTTTGTTGTTGTCTTTATAGTCATCTAATCTCAAGAGGTTCAAAGCCATATTCTGTGAAGGGAAAGTTGTCTTTTTTGGGGTTTTTGCCCTTATTAGCAACATGAGACTGATATGATGCTGCCATGCCAATATTTTACAATAGGTTATGTGACATTTAATTGGTCTACTGTATCTATCTGAATTATCTGATCAGAAGAGAAAATATCTATTTGAAAATTTCCGTGACAGAGATGAGGCTGTGTTAGACTCTGCATCACAGCATTTTGATGTGTCCGTACAGCCAATTTTTGAGAAACAAAGTTATGGAGGATACTATACTCTTATGTACCAGTGAACACAGCAATTTTTATTAATTATTCTACTTCAGACTGAGATTTCTGCTCCCTGGAATTGCTATATGTAGTATATTTAGGTGGTTAAACCCTTTATTCTGTAACTGCTGCATATTGTATTAGTCCCTAATTTTTAGTTTTTCTATTCTATGAAAGTGACTGCCTGGTGCCCAGTTCATTACAGTTTTACATGTCCTGTTAGGTGTGACATCTGCATTGATCATTGCCATGTCCCCTTTGATTTTATTATTATATTTTAACAAGGTCATAATGTTTAGCTCATACAGATATCAATTTAGGCATTTCTTTTTCTCATAGATATAAAGTATTTTGTAAGCACTGGAGTTTTTCATTAGATCTTATACAGAGCAGTATTTTACTAAAAATCCAAAAGGGAAGACTTTTATGTGCGCATTTTTGTAGTTTCTGATTTTTTTAAAATAACTTTTCATTGTTTATCTGCCAAGTGAAATGTTTTAAATTTGCATATGAATGGATACAGAATGTATTTTTTGTGCTGTTTTGTGTTAAGTGTGCATTTGCAGATTTTTAGCATGTAGTTGCACAAAGACTGTGCAAAGATATTTTGGTATATGAATATATGCTACACTGAAGGAAAAACATTCATAAAACTTAAATGCTATATAGAACTCTAATGCAATAGAGTAATTTTATAAACTGTCTGTGTCTGCTTGGATTAAATATTGAAACAACAAACATTACCTATTTTCACTGTTTTATTTCCAAATACTATGTGGGAACTTGTGTATGCTCCAACCCAGAAGTTTACAGTATGAATCAAATCTCATGAAACTCAGTTTCTGTGATCTCAAAAGTAGGACCTGCCCTCCTGACTGTTTCTTGATGGCTTTCAACTGTAACTGTGATCAAAATACAAAGTTTTGTTCAAAAGGCTGTTGGTCACCTTGCAATTAAAAGCATTTAACAGGATACTGATCTTCCAAAAATTTTTTGGCCTTGTCACCAAATAGATTAAAAAAACCCAACCCCACAGAAAAGTCATTATTTTCCAGTAAGCTCAGTCCTAGTGATTGTTAACAGGGTGGAGAACCAGCTGGTGGCTGAGAAGCAGAATGTTAATGTCTTTCTTGTACATTTTAGTGTGAATTAGCTTATTTAAAGCAACAAACATAAAGACTGGAGTACACTCTTAGCATGACCAGCTGCTGCAACTTCATATAAGTGTGTATGCAACTTGGTGCTTCTGTATAGAACAAGTCTGCTGTAAACACTCAGGTCATATTGCTCAACTTAAAGACACCAGGATAAAATCTTAGATTTCATAAACTGTCTTCAAATGATTAGTCAATGAAGTCTTAACTGCTGTTATCCTGCATGGTGAGTTCTGCCATCTCAATATATAGCACTAAAGAAAATTCAGGCAACTTAAATGAAGGGATAACTTGAAAATATTATCAGTTATTGCAGAGTAAATCTTGCATGGATGCTCCCATTCAAAAATTACGGGACTTCTGTTTAATTTAATTGAGTTGATCTGAACTACTATATAGATGACCCCTGAAGGTGAGGGATCTCAAAGAAGTAATTGGTACTTGCAATAAGGATGTTTTTAATTCTATTTGCAATTGTGAACTCCTTATGTATTCCATAATCAGCCTTCCTTACTACTGAGAGACAGTTATCTTCTTCTCTTTCTGTATCTGGAAAGGGGACACAGTGACATCAAGGGCATAAGGGCAGTCTGAATACACACTCTTGGCCAAAAGAATTCAAATTCAGGTGCATGAGGACCCTTGAATATTGAGACTGTAACTGACAAATGTTTTGAAGAATCTGATATCATGAGGTAAGTGGCTGTTCTTTATTAAAAGAATCCATGGTTCCAACAACAGTTCCTTATTGCTGTCAGTTTTTAAGTGGATGTTTACTCTTTATTTTTCTATAATTTACACATTTCCTGTTTTATTTCTGCTTTGAAATATATTGCAAATCAAAGGAATGGTCACAATGCCATCAAGTGCATATAGTAAACCTGGTTTCTGTTATTTGAAAGTACAGAAAAAGCATTTTTCATTAAAACTTTTTTTTTCTGGTAAAACTTGGTCGATAAAGCATCAGTGCATTGGCAGTGATTTATGAAAGTTGATAATCACACTTAGTCCTGTATTTTGTGTAATTGCAGTTATTTTTAATGGCTAGATCTTACTGAAACAATGGTTCTTAAGCGCTTTTTCATCCCTTTAGCTTTTAGTATATCCATTTTCTTGTTCTAATTAAGCTTCATTGATGGCCATTTTTCTGTCTTTTTAATATTTTTTCATAATTTCTAGACTTGAAATAAATGTTCTTTTAAAGAGCTATTCAGCCCTGAATTTTCTAGTTACACAGTACCATCTTATGTATGTACATACACACACACACATATATATATACAGGAACTCAATCACTCATTTTCTTAAAATTATTCATAGTTATGTCATTTTCAGTCCACACAATAATTCTTTAAGAGACATCCAGAGAATGATGGACACTATCTTGTTAATAGACATTGCTCTTCTCCAAATGCAGATATTCCTGCTGAGTAAAAATAATGGGCAAATAATGAAACATTAACAGAGTAAGTACACCAGTTTTCACTTCACTTGCTTTGGTAGATAAATTCTTGGCTTACAACTTAATTGTCCTAAAGTCCACCTCATTTCCTGTCAGAGTTTACTTGTGTTGCAGAGCTGGCAGAAAGGAAGGACCGCTTGTGCCTGAGGCACAGTGCAAATCCTCCTGCATGTGGGCGCAGATTTGATGTGCAATCTCTAGTGATAATCCTGGATTAATCAGTCTCCTATTACTTGCTCCCTCTGGGTCATGCCAAACTGTGTTGCCACATTATGAACCTTATCAAGGAATTAATCTGATTGGCATTCTCCTGTATGTTATTTTTCATAATAGTTTATGATGGAGCCCCAAGAACAGCTGGGTTGGTACAGTTTGTAGTGTGAGGGTGGGATGATTTAGCAAGAATGGAACCCCTTAAGAAACATCCCATGACTGCCTAAAGCTCAAATGACCCACAAATCTAACATTATTCATCAAGTGATGTCATTGGTGGTTCTGTGTGTTGACTTCGAGGAGAGTGGTAACTTCTGCAGGAGTACAGGAGGAACTGATGAGAAAGGGTCATATGGTAAATTATTGCAACATCTGCATAAAAATCATCATTTTCATTTTAGTTGGTCTGTTAAGTTTTTAGATGAGTCTTAATGAATGATGATGTGGGCTGCACCAGCCAATGGAGCAACAGAAATTAGTGGGCTCTTTCTTGTTTGTGTGCAAACTGACAAAGGGCCCCATGTCAGTGCTTTCATAATATTAAAACTTGTTAAAAAGATAGAGCTGAGTGGGTAAAAGGGTAACTCACAGTTTGAGGAGGCAGTAGGAAGATAGATGCACCTTGACCAAAAAAACAGCTGAGGAAGAGAAGATAAAACCCCCATGCATTACAAATTTTGGGTCTTGCTCTATAATATTTCAGTATCTAGATTCCTTTTAGCAGTGCCACTGGCAACTTTGATTCATACTGGAAGCCTTAGGTGAATGAAGATGCTCCAACACAACAGAAATGCACCTGAGAATACTTTATAAAAAAAACCCCCAAAACTAGTTAACTATTCAAAATACAGTTAGTTTGTAAATTTTATTTAATAATTTGGTCCTAGAAAATACCAAGGCAGTGTCAGGATCATGTTTTCTTTCTGGGAGTTAGATCTGCTGGGTCTGTGGCAGTTCCATCTCAAGGTCTCTTGCATCATCCTATAAAGTCTATCTATTGCTGACTGAAGCATGCCAAGTGTGATGACATTGCTTATAAATATTCAATTATATTCAGTATAAATCATGGTAGGGGTTTTGCTGTCCCTGCTAGCAGTATAGGATCTTCTTGACGCTGATGTTCTGCCATTTGATTGGTTTTACTGAATAACTCTTTCCTTTGCTACAGCATTGTACAGGTCCCTGGAGTGCCTCCACTCCTTCATTTGGTTTGAAAACCCAGTAAAAAATAAGACCAGCCACGCTTTCCAGAGAGCAAAGCAGCTGAGGATTTCAGCAGAGAAGATGCAGAAGAATGGGACATGGCTGCTGAGGTACTTGGTATGTGACCCCAGGTGTGCCAGCTCCCTCTCTGAGCAGTGGCACCCCCCTGCCCTCACCCAAGCAGGAGGACTCGGGGTGCTGGTAGGGGTTATGCAGGCTTGCGACCAGGAAAGTGTCCATGCAGTTTCACTTCAAACTGAATCTTTCTTGCCTGTGCTAAAATGAACTTGGGGCTTTTGTGCATATTGACAATAAGATTTTTCTCTGAGGGTGGCAGAGGTTTTGGATAGACAAAGAGTGCCTTGTGGGAATGAGATTATTTATGACCAATATAAACCAACACAGATAAGTCATGTATGAACATGCTCTGCACATATCAAAGCACATTGTGTCTTTTATTGCATTCCTTTTATGGCATAACAAACACAACAATAAGAAATTTGTATTTCATAAGCCTCTCATAAATTAAGCAATTTTAACACATGCTCTCTATGATTGAAGATGACTAACATTATGTATGCATTGACACTTTGCAAGTTGGTTAAGGTTATGTTTTTCCACACATCTAAGTTCTTTGTTAACATATTAAACTGCTAGAAGAAATCAACTTTACATGGCCACTTCCATGCAATCAAAAGGGTATGTGTTTGTTACATTAGGAGCTTGTGAAAGAAAAAGGTAACCTGCATCCATTTTCTTTTTGAAGTTTTGCTTAATCTTGCTGTGAGGCAGGCCCTGCTTGTATTGATACTGTAAAAGCACAAAGGATACCTTTTTTAGATAGATGACTTTTTTTCTTAAGGCTTCTTAATTTTTGAATGTTTGTAGAGGTTTTAGCCTTTTATACCAGTTACACATGTTGAATCTTATTGAGGTAGCTTTCATCAGAAGTTCTAAGTAATTACTATTATTATTATGCTGTTAGTTTTGATAAATTAGTTTGAAGAAAAGTACTCTTCGTCAGAATACAAAGTAGATGTATGTCTGTGACATACATCTATTTGCTGTATGTCAAGAGATAGTCAAAGAGAACAAAAATTCAAAGAGATTGTGATTTTGTAATGTGTTGTTCCTTAGGGAGGAGAGGTAAAGCACTTGTTCCTTGGCTTTCTCTTTCATGTGTCTTCACGTCCTCGTGATCTGCACCTTTGTCCCAGTGACCTCTACGACTGCCCATGTGAGGTGAGAAGCCTCTTCTTGCTGTGGCTTTCACTGTCAGTAGTATTCCTGGTTTAAAGATCCAGTAATGCCAGACTTATCTCACATAATACTGTTCATACTGCAGCTTTATTCTAAGAGGGGCCTAACCAGAAGTGCAAGGGGGAAATATTTTCAATGTGGGTTTTTTTTTCTTTTTCTGCTCTAATTAAATGAGTTTAAACTAACTGACTAGTTCTTCTGATTATATTTGAGTTAAAACAAAATTCTACTGGTACTGGTTTGGGGTTGAGCATTTTGAATTTTATTGGTTTACTGTTAATATTTCTGGTTGTTTCTGTTTGAAAATTACCCACCTAAAATTTTAAAAATTATTTTTAATAATAATAAGGGCATCAAGGGCAATACGGGAACATTTCTGTCACAAACTCTGTTTCAGCAGTAGTTTTAGATGCTGTTCCCTCTATAAAGCAAACTGATGGCATCAGTGAATTGCTGCAGCTCATGACTTTACGTAATTATGCGTAATTTGTTCATGGATACTCAGTGCCTTCAGTGACAAATCCCAGGGGAAAACATAGCTCGTTTAGGGTAAGGAGAAGTTGGGGTCAGGCACTGATCACGGGGGTCAGCATCGCACCGTGGGCATCTCTCCCCGGGGCGCTCGGGGCTGAATTTGGCAAAGCCCGTAACACTTGGTGTTTAACTAAAAGCCCTTTTTTGCGTGCATGTGGCAGATTTTTGTAGAGACTGCACAGACTAAACGCGAGGCTCCGCTTTCGTGTTCTTGGTGTGTCTGTGGGATTCCGGGGCCGAGGCCCGGCCCCCCCTGGCCGGTGAGGGCGCGGCGGGCGGGGCCGCACCGCCCGCGCTGCTCCCAGGCCGCGGCCTGCCCGGCCGCCCCCGGCGGCGCCACCTGCCCGCGCGGCGGCCCCGCTGCCTGCCCGCGCCCATAGGCCGCACAGCGCCCGCCCCCGGCCGCCTGTGGCGGGCGCGGCCGCTCGGCCGCCCTCACTCCGCGCTCCGCGCCGGGCCGCGCCGGGCGATGCCGTGCGGGCAGCCCGACAGCGGGGCCGCCGCGGCGCGGTACGTGCTGGGGGTGGACGTGGGCAGCACGGTGGTGAAGTGCCACGTCTACGACCGGGCGGCCGCCGTCAGGGGTTCCAGCCACAGGAAGGTGAGTGCGGGCGGGTTGCGGGGTGCGCCCCGGTCCGGAGCGGGGCCGAACGGCGGGAGCAGCTGGGGGCAGCACCTGTCTCGGGAGCCGGGAGGGGCCGAGCGCGCTCGCTGTGCCCCGAACGCTTCCGACCTGCGGGGGGTGCCCGTCGGGGCTCGGCGTTCGCAGGCTCTCCGCCAGCTCGGCTGGTCCCGGTGCGCGGGCATCCCCCGGGGCAGGGCGGACAGGAGCGGCTCCGCCTCCCGAGGGGTGAAAGGAAACCCACAAACCCCGACCCCCCGGGACCGCCGTAGCTCTCACCCCGTTACTTCGGCGCTCACCCCCTCCCCCCCTTCCCGGTTACCTTACCTTCGGTCGCTCATCGACTAATCTGTCTGAACAAAACCACTTTTGTTACTAGGGCATAGCTGAGATTTGCATAGGATTTACGTTTGCACGCGTCCCATCATGTAACCGCGCTATGTGAAGTGTCTATGTGAAGTTTAGAACGTAAATTTCAGGCTGTTTTTGGTTAGTAGTGCTTGTGATTTTAGGATCAGGGCAATCTCCAGAATTAACTTTTTTACTGTTACCTATTGCAATGAAGATCTCGCAGCGAGAAGTGTAAGAAGTCTGATGGATTTCGGAGATGGAAGGGGGTGCTCTCGGTGGAGCTGACCCTCCCTGGTGCTGGAAGCTCCTCTGACAGGTGATCCCTGCTCTGCTGTGCTGCCACTGAGAAGCTCAGAGGCACCGACGTCAGAATTAAGCAATGCAGCAGAAACGGCTTTCTGAGACACCTGCTTTCCTTTTTGCAGCTCTGGAAGGGGTTTTACAGCTTCCTTTTTTCCAAGAGGTTGGGACTTCCTTATTTCAAGGGGTTTGAGCTTCTTTATTGCCCCGGAACAGAGGAGGTCTTCTGGAGATCACACACCCATGTTGAACAATGTTTTAAAAGTACACTGTTGTTTCTACTCTTATAGGAGATTCACAAAATGAAGAACAAAACAAAACAACCTAAAGCCAAATGTGTTTGCTGATTTCTAGGGATCATAATAAAGCTGTTTGTGTTTCCCAAACAGGTAGAATCACTTTATCCTCGTCCTGGATGGGTTGAATTAGATCCTGAAGTGCTATGGAGTCAATTTATTGGTGTAATAAAAGAGGCTGTACAAGGTAAGGGCTTAAATTTGAGAAATTATTTATTTATAAAAATTAATAAATTTAGTTACTTGGATAATAAAACTATTTTTAGCTGGTACTGAAAATCATCACTGGGCACAGGACTATAACATGCTTTAAGGCCTATTCAATCATTATGTAAATTAGGGTTCTTCAATTACCTTTTTCCTTTCATTGGGGCCAGATTAGAATTGAAGTAGAAGCAATGTGAATACTTGATTTATGCATCAGTGCCAGCACTTTGTGGCTCCAGCTTTTTGTATATGCATCCTTCCCCAGTGTCTGTTCCTCCAGATGCCTCTGTGCAGGAACAGAGAGCTGGCTTGTTCCCCTTCCAGTGCCTCATTGTTCTACCACCACTTTGTATGTGTGAGTGAGAATGAATGCAGGATGCTGCAGAGCTGGGCTCACTCGATTGCAACCTGATATTCCTCCTTTTCCCATTCAAACTTTAAGTGATTCTTACTGTCCTATCCTGTATCACTGTTCTTTTTAATTTGTACTTTAGCCTACAATTTCCTAGTGCTCCACACACTAAATACATACAACTCCTTTTTCTGACAAACCTCTGATGGGTTTTTCCCCCTGCTTTTCTGGATGCTGCTCTAACCTAGCTCTTGCTCTGTACAACTCTCACAGCTTTTGTGTTAATCTACTCCAGTGTTCTGCCATCCATCCTGGATCACCTGTGCCATGTTGATGCTGTGAGCCTGTCAGCTGGCAGGTTGCCTTCCCACAGTGCCCCAGCCTCCTTGGCCTGTGTGTGCACATTGCACTCTTTCATTCAAGTCATTCAGTTCCTCCTGTTCAGCCCCTCTTGCTTGGTCTCCAGTGTTGCTCTGCCTTCAGACTTGGCTCATGGCAAAACTGCTTGTCCCTTCCTTTGGAAGGCTGCCTAAGGAACAGGGAAAGTAAATATCACCAGGTGTAAACTGAAGCTGATTATTTTGGGCTCTTGGTTTGTTCTGTCAGCAGCCACAACTATTTGGTCACAAGAACAGCAATGCCACCTCAACCCCCAAAGACCTTCCTGTCTTCCTTCATTTCCATTCTGTGGGACAAGTCAGGAAGCAAGACTTTTCAGCTAGTTTTAAAAAGGGAAGATTTCCTTGTGGCCAAGCTGCACCCATTGTTGGCAAGTCATTTTTAAATGGGTGTGTAAGTAAGCATAACTCAGTGCTGTCAAAAGAAACAGTGCCACCCCTTTTTTTCCAGAGGTCTCCTAGAGCAGGGCAGCTTCCTGAGTGGAATCACTGTCGGGTTGTTTACGCCAGCAGAGCTTCAGCAGTGTTTGTGCTGACGCAAGGGAGGGTGTGGTAGCAGGGGCAGGAATGAGTGTCTGGAAGCAGAAGGAGCACAGTGACACTTGGGTTTGCAGAGCTTGTGGAGCTATATGTGATTCCATGCACGGGTGGATGAGCTGCTGCAGTTCAGTACCACCTGATGGTGGAAACTTCTGGCTGCATGGTCTCAACTCTGTCTCTTACTGTGCCACTCCATCCAAAAGGCAGCTTAACTGAAAAATACTCATGTTTGTCTTTAGGTTTGTTTTTGTCTGTAATGGAAGTTAGCTCCACTTACGTGGGTGTCTGGAGAGTATGATAGCTGACACAGGGAAAGTGGTGGGACCGTGCAGATTGTGGAGATGGGAAGGAGTAACACATGCCAGCAGTCCTGAGTGAGCTGTGAAAGTGCTTGAAAGCTCTGCCTTTGCCTGACAAAGAAATAGTGCTGTTCTCAGGCCACCCACTCCCAGGTCCCCCTCCTGTACCCTCCTGCTACCAGCAGCACTTGTGCAGGCAGGTGGAGCAGGTTGCCTTGTGAAAGCACTGGTTTAATTCCCATCTGATTGAAGAACTGATAGCACTGCTGGCAGGAATGCGAGGAGCCAGTGTAAGGGCAGGTGCAGAAGCACAGGTAGAGTTGGGCAGCACAGATGTGCCCTTTCTCTGTGAAACCCCTTCTGTAATTGAGAGGGTGCTGGGTATAGAGTCTGCAGTACATGCTCACACAAATGAGCGACTTTGCATGTGAAAATTAACATGAGAACACAAATGAGCAGGACCTACTTAACCTGGGATTTGTTCAAGGAGCTGGATTGAGAGCCCTTCAGAGTAACAGTACTTAGGACAGGGTGGGTAGTCTGTCATTTAAGTGGAAATTTTTTCATGTGTATTTTCTTGATGTAATTTTGCTTCTGTAAGTATGGCTGGAGGTAATTAGCAAGCTGACCAGAGTTGCTTTGAAAATAGCTATGGACATATTCAATTATTTATACTTATATTAAAAAAAAAGTTCTGTAACAGTTATTTGAAGGTAAGGTTTACAGCAAAATTGGTGTGTACATTTTTGTACTTCTGACTTTAAAGTAGACTTTGTTGCATTCAGTGGTACCTGACTTAAGCAAGTTCTTTCTTAGGAATTTTTTAAACGTTGCTTAAGAAATATTTAAAGTGAGACATGTCATCAGAGTGATGCAAAAAGTTGTGATGTATTCATATTTATTTACTTACAGCCTGCAGGATCAATCTAGTTTTGTTTCTTATAGAAATTCTTTCCCTAAGTCTGTAAAGGTACTTTAATTGGGGCTTTTGTTCACATTCATCCATGTGAAATACACATTTTAATTGATAATGTGGACATGTGTAATCTGCCTGCCTGTCTCTGGGATTGTTCATATAAAGTATCAGCAGGCCTTTCAGAGGGTGGAAAGGGTCTGTGTGCCACAACTGCTTTTGCAAAATACGTAGGTTTGTTTATCTGCTTTGGAATCAATTGTCTGACTCAGAGCTCTCTAACGTTTCACTGCCCTTAACACTTAGTTGAACGATTTTTTAGCAATTTATATTCTCTTCTCATAAACTTTTTTCTCATAAATTACTTTCCTAAGTATTCCATAGGTTTTATAGTTATACTGAAGAAGTAATATTTTTCTTTGCTTCTCCAAATAAATACTTTTTTTGTGATTGTAACTTATTTTTGGTTTTTAGCTGCAGGACTTCACATGAGGCAAATTGCTGGTCTTGGCATCTCCACCCAGAGAGGAACTTTCATCACATGGCACAAGTATGTATGTTGTGTATTCTTTAAAATGAATTTGTATTCATAGACCAGATGGCAGCAGGCTGTAGATGTGTTGAACTCAAAAGTAAAACTTGTCAAGTCACTCATGTTCTCTTGTGCTTGCACAGCCACACCTTAGAGCTGTTCAGAACAGATCGTGACTGTGTAGCCTTTTTGTTCTTTATGCATTGGAAGAGATGAATACACATGTATTTTTAATTCTGGTGAGAAGTCTGACACTCCAAATGTCTGTGTGCTCATTTAATAATTCCTCAAATCCACCAGGAGGATATGCAGTTATTATATGATCTAACCTAGTGTTTATTGTCCTGATTGGAAATGGTGCATAATGTTGAATGTTTTGGGCAATTTGTGTTCTCTGGCTTTAATTGTTCAAATACTGTTTTTCAGGAGGACAGGGAGACCTTTTCATAATTTCATAAGTTGGCAAGACTTAAGAAGTGCTGAACTTGTGAATTCCTGGAATAACTCCCTGCTGCTGAAGGTAAAACTGCATTAATCTAGATACTGCTTGGATATATTACATCTGTTTAACTCTTATGACAAGTAAGGGCACTATATGGAATACTGCAAGTGTCCTGTTCACATGGTGATGTGATGTGCTGTAGCCATCATTTAACTGAGCAATGAACATTTCACTGAGTAATATTAGCACAGAAGATAGTTCCAAGAAATAAAGTGCAGTACTGGTAGCCTAAAGTAATTATTATGGAAAAAGATACCTATGGGTCTAAGGCTCATTTTGTTACTTTTTAGTCCGTTATATTAAAACGTGGCATGTTGACACCACTACTGCATGGATTGTGGATGTAGTTAGGTCTGGATTGGAAGTGGTTTGGGCATTTGGTTTCTTGGCTTGTTTTTTTCATGTACCCTTTGCTCTGATTATCTATAGGAGATACATTTAATGCAGTTTGTGGCTTGTGCTTCATACCTTTAGAAGAGAAAGATTTGTGCCGAGTCCAAAACCAGAAGTTAGTTTTCCTCTTAAATGGAAGCTAACCAGCGCAGTCACCATAAGAAATTAAATTATAGGGTTTGCCAGTTACTTCTTTTGTGAAAACTTGATTAATCATTAAATTTTGGTAAATCTCTTAAGTCATGATTGAGCCTGTCAGCTGTAAGAGAACTTGCCCTGGAATAACAGTGTGTAATGCTGCCAGCCACATCATGCATTGTGCTCACAGAGGTGACCAGTGTTGGCAGTGCAGAGCAGTGGCTGTCAGTGCTCCAGCAGAAGGTGCTCAAGCAGCCTTGCTTAGAGCAGCTGCTCTTTCCTGTGGTGTGTGTTGCAGGAAGGCTGTCTGTTGATATGAACATCCTTACATAATCCTGCTCAGGGATCCTCTAAAGGAGTTTTAGCTTTCTGAATGTAATATCAGTGGCTTTCATCTGTGTTGTCATCCTTTAAAGGTAATCGATCAGTAACCTTTAGATGGCAAGATTAAAAATTGAGTAACTGTTTTCTTTTGAAACAGGTAATCCATGTTATTTTTACAGCACTTCATTTCTTGACTGGGAATGATCGATTTTTGGCACCCAGTTTTCTTACTTTTTCAACACATCAAGCTTCTATGAAGTTGTCATGGGTTTTTAAAAACATACATGAGGTAAGCTGGAAAGGGAAAAGCAATAGATTTCTTAATGGCTTGCAAGTATGAGGTGTTCAGGGCCAGGCTGGATGGGCTTTGAGTGACCTGGTTTAGTGTAACATGTCCCTGCTCATGGCTGTGGAGTTGGAACCCTTTAAGGTCCCCTCCAGTCCAGGCCATTCCATGACTCTGTGACTATTGGCTGTAATTGCTTCAGTTTCGTCTTGCTCGTTCTTCTCAGAAGAACCAGAAAGGATTTTTTCTTTGTTAATGTTCAAAGCCTGTCCACCTAAATAGTAACTTACATTTGTACAGATTTTCCCTCTCACTCTGGAAATGCATAGTAGTAAAAAGCTTTCTTCATACATAAGCAACATAATAAAATCATCTTATTTCACTTGATACATTTATACAGTTAGTGATTGTACTTCGTTTTAAAGCTGTTTGCCCTCTGGTTTTGCATGATGGTTTTACTTATTTTCAGTGAGACCTCTTCCCTTTCCACTCTGCATTATTCCAGAATGTTTTGCAGTTTCACAAATAACACCGTACCGCACAATTCATTTTGCATTTTGGTGAATTGGAAAATGCATGTGAAATAAGTTGTGCTGGATTAACCTAGTGCACTAATGAGTCCTGATCTATGTGTTGCTATATTCATTGCTCTAATACTCACCATGCAGGACCTTGTTTTCTTTATCTACCACTGTTTCACCACTGTTACAATTGTAACTGTAAGTTTCTTTTCATAAGGCTATGATGCCCCTTCAGTGGAAGATCAATTGCTTTTATTTCCTTAGAAACCGCTGTAAAAAAGTGTTCTTATTTTCTGTTAGGAGCATGAACTTGTAGGATAATTTTAGTTAAATAGCCAACTCAGTCTTTTTAGAAGAAGAGTTTACAATCAGAGACTTATTTTCTGAGGACCTTCTGATTTATCATGAAGAAAATAATAAAAGAAATCAATAAATATTCTTCTCTTATTATACCCAGTTGTAACTTTTTATCATATATTTTTTCCCAGGCTGAAGAAGCTGCCAGAAAAAACAACTGCTGCTTTGGAACGGTTGACACGTGGTTACTGTATAGATTGACTAAAGGTGAACATTACAGTTCCTCTTAAATATCAGTAAAACACACTGGAATCTAAGAAATTATGTTCATTATTTGTCATTTATATATCCTAGAATTCAGATACTTTTTTTGCAATTTGTGCTTTTGTATGTTCAATAAAAATTGTAATGTATTTCCTGTTACTAAAAGAGCTTCTGAATAAATTATTCTTTGGGCCTGTTGGAAGGGAAATATTTATTCAGTGTAATCAACCTTCTAAGAGTATAAGATTTAAAGAGGACTAACAGAGCTAATTGGTGTTGATTGAAGAAAAGTACCTGTGAAAGCAGAAGAACAAAGAATTGTTAAAAATGTGGAAGAATAACAAGTTTCTATTCTGAGTACTAATGCCTGAGTCACATTATGACTGTCATGCAGTTGGTGTGGTGCTGTTGGCTGTTTTAGAGAGGTTCATGAGAGGAAACAAGGTTATTAATGTGTGCACAGTGTAGTGAGCAGCAGGTAAAATCTCTGTGCTCATTGTATCACTGTGATTTTAATCATTCACACTTGATTTATATTTCATGGGAGTCAAATATCTCATTGACTCCCATGAAATATCTTAAGTATTTGGATGTCTAAAAATCTTTCTTTGTTCTCTGTTTTCATGCTAGGTTCTGTGTATGCTACAGATTACTCAAATGCCAGTTCCACAGGCATTTTTGAGCCCTTTACGGTATGTGCTGTCCCAAAGAACGTCTCTGGTATTTATTGTGCTTCTCAGATGCTTCCTAATGTTTTTACTTTTTCCATTTCATTTCAGAAATGTTGGAATCCCACTTTATGTAATCTACTTTCAATTCCAGTGTCTATTTATCCACCAGTGAGAGACACAAGGTAACTATGAAGACACAATTAAAAGAATATCATAACTGTTAAATTAATTGCTAAATTAGTTATGATTAATTATTAAATACTAAATATTCTGCACAGGCCAAATAATACACACGTACACAAAAAATATTTTTACATGTAGTTATACCTTATAAGTATATGAAGTCCAAAACTTTTTTACTGTGTTTCTTAAAGTGATAGTTTTAATGTTTTCCTTAAAATAAGTCAGTAGCATTACCTTTTAGGTGTGACCCAGACCCAAGCTGTTTGTACCTAGATTTCATTTTTACAAAAAGGTCATTTTAATGTAATTTGTTTTAAGCTTCAACTTTGGATCAACTGACTCTGAAATATTTGGGGTACCTATTCCAATAATGGCAGTGGTAAGTAAAAATATTTTCTTACATCTGTGTGTTTATATTCTGTTTATTTGGCTTTGATTTAGTACTTGCTTCTTTCATTAACATTCTCTATTGATTCTCTATAATTTAGCTACAATAGAATTGATGGTTGAATTTTTCTCCAAAAACCCAGTCTACAACCTTAGGGAGAAGGAGGAGAAAGGAACAAAAAGGGATTTCTGGAGGTTGAGGTCCACTAAGGTTGTGGGGCCAAATGATTAAATTCTGAATGTAGGACTCTAAGCTCTGGTAATGTGTGTATCTGGCTTAAAATCAGTTGTTCTGTGTAAAGTTATGCAAGAGTCCATTCTGGCTTGACTTCACTGAGACCAAACTACTGTAGGAGTATTTGCTAATAGATCCACTTGTGGTACCTTCTATGCCTTTTTTATTTTTTGCTAAAAATTAATGGCAAAAAACATGTTCTTTCCTCAGTAGTTAGAATTTGGATAAGAAAACCTAAAGTGATGATTTGGAGCAAAATCTGCTTGAATTGAGCTAAATGAAAAAAATGTCCCCTAGCTAACATGAATTTGTTTTGTTTTAAAGGACTGTGCACTAAATCTAGCTGTAAATTTACTGTTTCACCAATGCAAAAACATAAGTAAAAATATTTAATAACCATAATCATGGTTGAAAAATGGAGCACGGAATAATTTGGTACAGGAGGGGTATCAAGGAGAAAAGAAGGCAAGACCTCAATACTTCAACTTTCTATTTGGAGAAAAAGGAATTCAGGCCAAGCTACCCTGTTCTGCTCCTTGGGATTGCAACTGCCTCGTTTATCCTTGTTAAATATTAAACCACAAAATACTTTTTTTGTTTCCATAATGTTTTTCAGTGTTGCAAGGAGTCGTACAGATACTTCACACTGTGAAACTTGGTGTAATTTAATGCCAGTGATAAAACTGACTGTTCTAATGGCCTGCAAATGCTTAAGAAATTGTAAATGAGTCCTCTCTGAGTGCTCAGTTCCTGAGTGGTCACTTGCATTCAGAACTCCAAAGTGTTTGCAGAGATGTTTTCAAACCCAGCATTGCAGGTTGGTGGTGGGTAGCTAACTTGTCCCGTTGTTTTTGTTGGATTGACAGGTAGCTGATCAGCAGTCAGCCATGTTTGGAGAATGCTGCTTTCACCCAGGAGATGTTAAACTGACAATGGGAACAGGTGGCTTCTGGAATGTCAATACTGGAGAGCATCTCTTTGCAGCACGGGGAAGTAAGACTGAAGTTTTGGTTTCAGGGGATTTTATTCTTTCAGCTGTTCCTTGGTAGCTGCTACTGCTGAGGACACACAAAAGAATAGAACAGGGCTGTGCTTTTCCTTCAGTCTATAAGTGTTCAAAACCAGCTTGGGAGTTCTTTCAGAAGAGAAGACTATGGAAAGATTGAATTAGCAATGTAAATTTTGGTTATCCTCAAGTAAGCTTCTCAGGAAGAGAACTTAATTAGCATCATTAGTAATTATATCTGCTACCTGCATCCCTCCTGGCTTTTTTTCCTTCACCTGTTCTTCATAGCAGTATTGTACAGGATAGGAGAAAAAAGGGATTGGTAGTCTGGCTTCTCACATCACAGTGTTGCAGTGAGTCATTGCAAGTTCCTCCCCTTGAGCCTTAAGCATGGAAGCACATGCAATGAGCTAATGCAGGATTAGAAGTTATAAGTTTTCTTTTAAAATGGGCTCCTCAGTGTGTTTCTAGTGTTTAAAACTCTGTCATTCTGAACATCTGTGGTCTGTCAAGTAATTTGTCAGAGATAGCTATTTGTCAGGAGAGCAAACACTGAAGATGACCCTGAAGTAAATTTGCCTACACAGTCTCTCTCTGTCTGTCATATTTTTAAAGAGTTACTAATTTCAGGATGTCTACTGCTTAAAATGGAGTGAGGCTGGGGAGGAGGACAGCAGTGTGATAAAGAGAATTTTACCAGCTCAAGCCTTGAAGGACCTTGGCAAATACATGAGATGTGTCAGAACTGAATAGCATAGGCATTGAATTCCCTTTGAATGCAAATGCTTTTTATGCTAATTAATTATGTCATTATTATGATATTTGTACTTAGGAAATAATACATATGTAGTCTGTTAAAATGTAATAGCAAAAAACTTGCTGTTAAGCTTTTTGATTTAGCTGTTGTATTCTGATAGGAGTTAACATCTAAGGCAGTGCTGTGAAACTTTTACTGCTTTAGGCTGTTACTTCTGTTAAAATTATTTTCCCTAAGTTCTCTGGCTGTTGTGGGGTATGGTTAGTGGGACAAGCTAAGTGCCTGCCTTTCTCAGTGCCCTAGGCATGAAATGTAATGTGTTCAATCTTTAAAGCTGACATATGTATTTAAGACTGCAAGATGAATCCCTGCAGCATCCTTGTGCAAGCTATTCATTAGCTGCTGTTCTAGTTCCTGGTCTACATTTAGCTCCTACATAAAACAGTTCAAAATAAAAGAAAAATAAAGTAGTTCCTTCAAGGCCAGCCTGTCTCACAATTCAGTGATGGAATCATGTTGTATAGGTTTAAAGCTCCCTCTGGTAGTCTGAGGGTTCTTAATACCTCTGGTCATGCCAAGTGTCATGGGGATCCCTTCCCTAGAGGTAGGGTTATGTTACCCTGCTAGAGACTCTGGTAGAGCATCTTTAGGGAGGCCACATGATGGATGGATGTCTCTGTCCCTAATTAGCTGCTTTTCTTTAGGATCTTCAGCTCAATTAATTTTTTGGGCTTTTTTCTTTGTGGCTTTACTTTTAGTAAAAAATAAAGATTTCAAAGGACACCTGCACCAGGATGATCTGCAGTTTTTTATATATATATATATATATATATATATATATATATATATATATATATATATATATACACATTCCCCTTTCAAGAGACAAATACAGACTTTAATCAGTGCTGCTAATTGTTTTATATTGGGGAGCACCTGAGTGCCCCAGTACTAACAAAAGTTCCTGCAATTGCACTGGGACTCCCACACAACTCATTTGGACACAGGCAAGCAAGCTGGAGATGATTCTGTGAGGAACACAAATATCAGCAATGTCACTTTGAGAAAGCAGAGAGAGCCCCTAGATCCTTGTGGTGCTTTTCTGGTCCTTGTAGAGGTACAATGGAACTTGTTTACCTTTGTTGCATTTTCCATGATCTCTGAGTCCTCAGCAGGTCTCCATTAAGTATGGGCACTTACTTTACTCCAACAGTTACTGTGCCTGATTGGGTGAGGTTGTTGCAGTGACCACTGACTACTGGGGTTCTTATCTAGTGATCTGAAAAGCCAATTCTCTAGCTGAAGTGCAGGTGAAACTTGTTTTCTTTTTTGCTTTCTGTTTGAGGAAGCATTGCATATTAAACAGGGAATTAAAAAGTACATCACTTTCATCCTCTTCTGTGAATAAGATCTGTGCTCCAAGTTTGTGTTACTTTTTTTGTGTGTATATGTCTGTTTCAGTTTTGTGTTTCCCATCTGAGAGACAAGCCCTCATGCTTTATCTTTTGGGGGAGAACACTCTTCCTTTTTAGAAACCCTTGGGGAAAGTTGGATGGACTTAAATAGAAAAACACTGATAAATTTTTAGGTATGCACAATTTCTTATATAAAAAATAAAAGGCACAGATAGATCTTCAGTTTAAAGGTGTTTTTTGGTAATTTGATAGCAGTTTTTTAAGTTAACTTTGGTCTAACAACCTGTTACTCTGTTCTCTTGTTATCCCATCACTAAAGTTTTAAACAGTATATTTAACCTCTACCAGTGACTTCTTTAGTTTGAATTCTACAAAGAAATTGGCATTTTCTAGGTGGGTTTATTGTGAGGAATGTTTGTATATGTTTATCTAGAAACATTTATTTTAACTGAATGTTTTGTTTCCTGGAAAATAATGAAGGTCTTTATCCACTGATCGGTTGGAAGATTGGGGAAGAAGTTGTTTATTTAACTGAAGGCTCCATATCAGACGTTGGCACTGCCATAAAATGGGCTCTGGATATAGGTAACTTCTGTCATTTTATAGAGGGTGACATTTATAACTGCTAAAGAAGCTGTTTTATGGGTTCATAGTTGTGTTACTGGATTTGATTTATTATTCATAAGAGAAGGAAGTAATCTTCATGCTTTGGACAGCAGAAATGCACAGTCTTTTTAGTAAGCAGTCTGCTGAGGGTGTTTGCTGCAGGGACTTGGGTTTGCACAATCATCTTCAGTCTCTACCTCAGACCATCCTACCTAACTAGGCTTTTATTTTCCTGAAACATTTTACTCCTCATTGCTTTTGAGAGGGCTTGAGCTGTACATCTCATAGCTAATAACAGGTTTGATTTATATGAAAATAACATGAAGAACTTTGCAAGTAACTGTTGCTTCATGTGGAAGTAATGTGCCTTTTGGCTGTTACTATTTTGTAATGAAAGGTTTTGCATTCCAGTTTAATGACAGACTATGAAAATACTAGCTCTGTAGTAGGTGATGTTCAAACTTACTGATTGTTTATAGAACAACTGTTCTCAGTATTCTAATTCAAGCTTCAAAATTTACTTGACTTACTTAGAAACAGGGTATTTTTTACTAGGATGAGAAATAAGTGATTAATGTCTCAAACTTTGGACTGTCTGGGAAGGGTTTTCCTCACCACAAGATTCCACATTTCTTGAAGCTTTAGATGCATGTGTACATCTATGTGCTCTGGTATGTGCCCCTAAGGGTTAAGTGTGACTCAGATTGGTCCTCACATCTTCATCCAATGTTTGACTAAGCCTAGAGAGTAAAGCCACTAGGCTTTGGAGGAAGTGACTCAGTTCAGTACACAGTTCAGTGCTGCAGACTCCAGTGTCAGTGCTACATATATATAAGCTTGCTATTTCAGATTCCATAATTAAAATGGGTAATTATCCATATGGAACTTATCTGTACTTAAAATGGATATTATTGGTATATGCAGAAGTATAAAGGATTTTTAGCTAGTCAGTAGAAAAATGATCATGACCTACAGTTGCTACTGTAGGAAAAAAAAGGGGGGGAAGTTTGAGATGGGATAAATGAAAGGCAGGCTGCTTTAAACTCTGTAACAAGTAAGGCCTTTATTTTCTGAAAATATTGTTGCAGAGAAGCAGAATTCAGAAACTTTTATCAGCTTTAGAGAATGGAAAAACTTTAGCTCTACAGAAGGAATTGGGCCAAAACACAAGGTAAGCTAATGGCCTCAATAAGGGTGGTGAGGCCCAACATGGATGAAGATGAGACACAATAGTGGTAAAGGTTTGGAAATAGTAATTTCTGCAGCAAGGCAAACTTAATTTAGTAGACTTCGTTTAGTGGAATCCTATAACTTCTAAGAATTTTTAAGAAGTAGTAGTTTGTGGAATTTCAGCATGAAGTCAGTCTTAGTTAATTTTTGATTTTCTGTCCTGGCATAGAGGTACTATGTGTATAATTCAATAATAGCAAAGACATCAAGAAGAAAAAAATGTGACTTAGATTTATTAGTCTGAGCACAGTAGAATCTATAGTTTTCCCACAAATTCATAAAGGTTACAAAGGTAAATTGAAACTCCTGATAAATTACCAAGATGGGCTTTTCAAAGGTAAGTTGAGCTAGATTAAACTAATTTACCTTTAATAGGAAAATTCACGTTTTTTAGACAAGAAAAAGCAGTATCTCTCATGTACAGAAGACCTCTAATTTTCTGTAAAATCATGTTATGTGGCCACATAAGGACATAATTTCTTAAAACTGTGGAAGAGGGTTGTTAGTACAAGAGTTTCATGTGGGTGAAGAACAAGCTAAAAAGAAATGTCTGTAGAGTTATGAAAGGAGTCATCTGGCTGGACAGAGAATAAAAGCAGTGTTTATCCAAGAGGCATTATTGTGATAAGAGGTGATGTATTACCTCATGTGTCACTTGTAAAGATACTAAGAGTGCTGATAAAATATGGGTATTAAGGACTTTCTCTGTAGTTTAGGTGGTTGGACTGACAGTAACAACATGGGGGGTGGAAAATATGTTCTATGAATCTAAGGTTTTAGCACTCTTAGGTGCCATTATCATTCTTAATTCCCATTTATGTCTTGAAGATAAAAAGGCTACAGCACAGCAGATAGGAGAGGATCCTTTTGAGTTTAGTCTTCATCTGAATTTGGGATTCAATAATCTGAGTTTCGGATTATTGATGTGACTGGTGGACATGAAATAGAGAAGACGTTGTCTCCCTTAAAACATGTAGTTTGAAAACATTTAAAAGGAGTAGTCTGACTCTAGATGTTTTTTCTTAGTGAAACAAAATGAAGAAATTGAAGGAAATAATAACATCCTACCACCTGTGTATCTTTACAGAACTTTTCACCAATGTAGATGAAACAGCAGAAATGGCACAGAGTATTGCTGATTCTCAAGGTGTTTGTTTCATTCCAGGTTTGCAGGTAAAAGTATTATTAATAAAATCAAGATTATATTTTAATAACCCAATTAAAAATTATTTTTTACATTTTAAAGGTAATAATTTACATCTCATCACGGTATTTATTCTGTTCTGTTGAGGTTCTTATTGTCTGTTGCTCATCACAAGATGTGGAGGCCATTGTCATATCAGAATGGTTAAATGCCATTCCTCCCCTTGAGAAAAACCAAATATGAAAATCAGTGATGAACAGATAGACTGAATTATTTTCCCCTAGTAACACAGACAACGCCTGCAGAGACACAAACCAGTGTCACAGCTTTTCTGCTATGAAGGGCAGAGCTTTCATTGAGACAATACTTCTAATCACTGTTACAAAATAATTTATTTTATTCTGCCTTTTTTCAAGGTGTAGATTTGTAATTCATCAGAATATTTTATAGTATCTAAATATTAGCAAGATTGCAAGTCCTGGTGTTATGAAAAGCAAAGATAATACTGTAGCACTTCCCTGGGGATGATCAAGCTCAGTATAAGAGATTTCTCTCTTAGAAGTCTTAGTAACTGTTTGGCTTCAGTGGTATGAGCTCATCTCAGTGTGTTGCTGAAAGTTTGAGTTAACCAAGCTCAGCTTGATCATTTCCAGCACTAGTGGGTTTTTATGAAGAACCTTAACATCTTTACCTTACCTTTGTCTAAGTTCTGTGTGCTAATGGAACAAAGCAAAGAATTTTATTTATTTTTCAGACAGCCCAGCTTCCTTCAGTGTAACTGATAATGGGCTGTAGTATACATCAATAAAAAGTATTATTGTCCTTTCCAGTATTAGTTTTGAAAGACAATTCATCTTTTTTTCAGGAGTTCAGGAGGGGACATGTGTGAAATCTTGTTAGAGAACAGCAATATCAGTAATATAAGTGTGCCCTGTCCTAGGCAATTGGTGTCCTTTAAATGTATTTTAAAGGGAAATTGTGTGGATTAGTCCTTTCTAGTTTGTTTGATTTGGAAGAAGTCACTTAAATGTTTTGCTGTTGAAAGAAGCAATTTAAACTGTTTGTTGAGTAAGCTGAAATAACACTACATGCTCTTACATATTGTTTTCAATTTTCTTCTTCCACTATGCTGCCTGTAATTGTCGTAAGTTATTTTTTTCTTACTCTTTTACTTCTTTCACAAAAGCCTACAAATATTATTCATTGAATTCATGGTGACATCTTTTCTGCAGGTTTCTGGGGATGACCCATATTTATGTGCTTCTTTTATGGGGCTGAAACCTTCCACTAACAGGAACCACCTTGTTCGAGCTATATTGGAATCTATAGCTTTCAGGTACTGCTTGCTAAATTATCTGGCTTCTGTTTTCTTATCTTTGCTTTTATTTAGATCAGCAGTGTTAAATGAATACATGGACTTTTGCAGTTTGTACAATACACTGCTGTTACACTGGAAAGGAGTTTTAGCTGCTTCCTTTTTTTTAACACTTTACAAATAAATTTTTGTATATTTGTTAGTTTAGAGTTTTTGTCATTAAGTAACCATATAGAAATTCTTAAATAATGTTGGTTTTTGCATGTTTTGAAAGTGTTTTCTGTTTTAAGTTTGTCCTTCCTCACCTGACAGTGTTTTGTCAGAAACCGTAGTCCTCTCCAGCTGTGTTTAAAGTATCCTTGAAGCTGAAAATTTTATATCAGCTTTTGTTTAAAGTTTGAAATTTTGGTGTTTTATAAAACAAAGTAATAGGCCTCTTAAAAGTTTTAAAAGATGTGAATGGACAGCAGCTTCCAGATCTGTGAAGGCTAAAGATATCACTGCTGGTCACTGCTGATGCCACATCAGTATGTCACTGCTTTGCCATCCCCCAGCATGGATTGAGCCTGGCTCACACTGTGCTGAGGCCAGTTAGGGAGCACTGATTGATTCCTTCCATGTAGTCAACAGCTTTGCTTTTGATGCCTTAGAGGCATCACTTTGGGCATAAAAATCTCCTGCAAAGAGCTCAGAAAAGATGTCTGGAGCAGGACAGCATTCTGAATTTCTGCAGCTGGTTTCTAATGGATTTTCCTTCTGCATTATAAGCCTGAACATGAGATGCTAGATGTAATTTCTGAACTAACATATGGGTGTCTTGAAAAGGATGTTAAGAATTCGTCTATCTGATTCAAATACTGCATACAAATAACTAGGAAAAAAGTAGAGATCCTTTGTGTTTAGATTTTCTCCCATTAAATGAAATGGTTTCTGGAAAAAGTCAGCTTGGAGGCTTCAGATATTCCCCTTACAGAATAACTGGATAAACTCCAGTTAGCACTGTGGGCCTACTTTCCTCACTCTAAGCCACTTGTTACATCAACAATTGCATCTCTAGAAGCCTATCAGTAACTTTCAGTGGGGAAAATGAACCTTCTACAGTGACTTGCTATAGAATGGGCCATGATTTAGCCATACTTTGCCTTTGTAACAGTGACAAAGACCAAACATCAGTTTCAGTGGGTTTGGGTTTTTAATTTATGCATTCTAGAAATTTTCAGCTATTGCAGCAATTGTAACAGAACTGAGGCCTTTCTTGCCTTGCATTTATTTTCTGACTATGTAGATATTGAAAACACTTTATAGGATATATAATGCTTAATTCAACTAAATATTTTTAAAGGAACAAACTGCTTTATGATATCATTGTGAGGAAGGTGCACATTCCTCTTCGAACTATTCGGTGAGTTCCCCAGAACTTTTAAATTCAATATGTGAGAGTTTGATTTGAAACAGGTTTGAACTTCATTATGCATTTTCTCTTACTGTAAAAATTCTGCTATTTAGAAGTAGATGATTTCCAAGTCAAATGTTAATGTAACTTAAGCAGCAGTAGAGTGTACCCACAGCTATTGGCATTGGTGATTGTTCGTGGGGGAGTAATAAACTGCTCTAATTATTAAAATAAAAGTTAAAAAGAAGGCATATCCATGTTTTCAGGTAGCACTACAGTGCTTATAGCAATGCCTACCACAAAGGTCATTCTACCCTTTGTCATCATTCTTTCATACTGACGTTTTCTGTGCTGGGTCTTTCACAGACAATTTTTGAAGACTTTGGTTAAAACTGGTTCTATTTGTGAGGGAAAGAGAGAGATTAGTTTTAGACATCAGTTTTGCTTTAATCTTTGAAGAACTATATCAAATTTAGTGAGGCAGCTGTAATCCCTAGCAAATGCTTGCACATTTAGCTGAATTAAACATTGCTGGAAGACCACATTTCACATTTTGGTAGGGACCTTCTCTGAGCACACCAATTGTCAGAAGCTCCAGTCCTCTGAGGCTCAGAAAGCTCTGCAACAAAATTCCTTCCTCAGGCAGCCAGGGGTCAGCATGGCACTGCAGTCAGGAGCAGAGGTGAGCGTTCCCATCCCTCCTGTGCCTCTGCAAGGAAGAACAGACTGGCAGGCATGTCAGAATCAGGCTCTCAGAGGGAAAAAAGCAAGAATACAGAAGTGGGAGGAGAAAAAAGTTTCTGCTTTCCATTGCATATTGGGAAAGAGAAGGCAAAGGTGAAAAAACAGCCAGGATTAGGGGTTTAATGAAAAGATGAAAAGTACCAGAACTTTGGTTACTTAGGAAGCTTTTTAACATAGAAAATTGCATCAAAAAATTGAAAAGTCACATTAAAAGTGCAAACTCTTAAAAAACTCTTAAAATATGGGAATTATGGAAATACAAATTAGGGAGCATTAGAATTCTGATTCCATTTACCTTGCAATATAAACCTTAAATTGTATGATCATGTTATTTTTTATTCATGGATATAAAATTGCAGTTTTATATAGTGTCTGTATTACTTAACTAAAAGCAGTAGCAATTTAGCTTGTGGATTAAATATTAAAACATAATGAGATGCACTCATTATGTGTGTGGGGTTCTCAGTAGGGTTGCAAACTGCTCTGCCATCCTTATGTCCACACATCTTTTGCATCTATCAATTACCTTTGATTTTTTGTTGTTGCTTTTATCCCATAAACTTATTAATTTCTTTTTTGGCTGTTTTCCTGTATTCCTTGTTCCTTCCTAATTTCTGGGCATTGTTTTGATTAGTCCTTAACAGGTTTCTGTTACTTCTCTTTGCTTGTCTCAACACCATCAAGGAAAGCTCAGAGAAGGAGCCCTCAGCTTTAGTCCACATGTCCTATAACTAAAGAGTTTTATTACCTAGCACTTTCTATAGCAATAAACACTAGAGGTCTTCTCTGCACCACATTTGATAGAACAGCAGCTCCATACATGGCTGGTACTGGAGTATACAGGAGCATAATGAATCTATCTAGGATATTTCAAAGATTGCATTTTGTTAGAGTTATTTTATTTGCAAGAGTAATTACTTCGAAATCTCAGATGATTAAAGACCAGCACTGATAAGTTCTCGTTTTCCCCATTAAATTGGTCTCAAAGCAGGAAAATAAACAGATGGAATCCTCATTCTGAACTTCCTCTTAAAAAGAAGCAACTGTGAAGGCATTTAGGTAACTAATACAAAGATTTGGTATTGAGAAGAACTGTACTTTTCCAGATCTGAGAACACATGAAAGGTTTGTTTGATGTTGTCATATTGTGGTGGTGTAAAGGATCTGTAATAAATCCTTATATTTCAGCCAAGATGATGCATAGTTTTAAAAGACAGAACTTTGAGAGCTTTTGGTAGAGTCCTGTGTCCCTGTTTGCCTACCATTCCTCTCCAAGTTTATAAACTTCTTTTTTCTTTTTTTGGCACCTTGTTCTGTCCTCTAAATTTACCCATAAAGTGGAAATGCATTTGTGCATGAGTGACAGGAAGATTTATACATAAGTGTGAAATACCAAACGTTGTTTTCTGAAATGCTGGCAAAAAGCACTTAACACATTTTTTTAACTACTTCTTCCCTTCTCCCTGTAGAGCTGATGGAGGTGTCAGTAATAATAGTTTTGTCATGCAGATGACATCAGATTTAATTAATAAGAAAATAGAAAAACCTGCAAACACAGAAATGTCTAGTCTTGGTGCAGCTTTTCTAGCAGGCCTTGCTTCAGGTACGTAGACATTAAAAAGGCTTTTTCCCCTATATAATGCATGTTGTAAATACAATAGAAAAGAGATCAGACAAAAACGGGCATAACTTCAAATAATTGTAAACCCCCCCCAAAGGATTACTTTAGCCATTTTGGTAGGAATCTAAGGTAAACGGTGTTTATGTTTCTCTGTACAGTACCATTAGAAGGATGTATTGCTAGAGAAGAAGGGTGAACCCTGTCTTTGCTGCCTCCTCTTCCTTGACTCAGACATTCCATGTCCATTCCCATACTGGTGCTGGCTGGGGAAGGACCCTGTGGCCAGGGAGCCACCGTGCTCACCTGCAGCTCTGTCACTCCCACTGAGGCTGTGTCCTGTGCTCTGTGAGCACTGCCTTTATCCTCTGAGGCTCTCACAGAAATGGAAGTACAAAATTAATTATTAACAGGAAAAACAGCTCTACTCACACAGAATTGTTTCATATTGTTAACCAGACTGAAAGCTACAAACTGTTGACAGTTTTGCTTAATATGCACCTACAAAACATGTTTTTGTTGAAGTGCTTTGATCTGTAAATAATGTAAATGAAGGTAAAAACTATGTGCTTCGATAAGACTTATTCAGCAATTAAAAGTGCAAGAAAGTTGAGACTCTTGATAGACAAGAATGATTTCATAACATGAATTGATAGGAATCTGTAACACCAGCTGTTTCTTGCTATTGATACAATTTTGAAGACAGTAGGAAAGCAGCTAAGTCTTGGTTTCTGTGGCCCTTCTTCATTGAGAAGGACCTGCAACCAAAAGCACTTTGTGGATGAAACCTAAGGGAGCTTCAGTGTACCAGAGCTGTTCTTTGGAAACCATCCCAGTTAAGCAGATGTGCTGTTGTCAGGATTCCAAACAAGTGGATCCTACTGGAAAGGATTTTCACAATATTAAAAATATGCTTCTCTCTGAGAAAGTTGCTGGTAGAGTAAAAAGAAAGGTTGTCATTATTTCTTACTGTGTTTCTGCTTTGGATCTCATAGATTAAAACAACTCAAAAATAACATATTTGCATTGAGCTGGAGAATGAATTTTCTGTTTATAGGATTTTGGACAGACAAAAAACAACTGAAGAAGCTGAGGCAAGTAGAAGCAGTGTTTGAGCCCCAAAAGGATTCAGAGGAATACAGACCTGCTATGGATGCATGGCTGCAAGCAATGAAACACTCACCACACCGGTAGAAATTTGTATTTTAATTTTAGAAGAATTAAGACGGTTTAATCATATTTTATAACATCTTGACATGAACAGGACAGTAAAAAACCATAACTGAAATTTGTGATGGTGTATTATAAGTCGTGTGGTATTTCAGTTCCCCCCCTGCTGCTGGATTATTTACCCTACTGTACTGAACCTTCCCATCATCCCTGTGGCAGCTGTGGTCCAGCTGCAGCATTTGTGTCCCTTCAGTGACCTCCTTTGGGTGGCCCAGCTGCTCAAATCCTACCATGTACTGCCTGTGGGCTGTTCCAACTGGGATGGGTTTTTCACTGAGCAGCTCCCCTCCCTTCAGATCTTTAAAATCTTGCTTGTGTTCATCATCCAGGAAGGCTAAAAGGCACATTGACTCCCCTAGGCATTGCCAAGAAAGAGCATGATTGTTGGGGCTGGGTTGTGAGGAATTCAATTGTGTACAAAGACATTGTTTGGCAGTAGCCTGTTACCACCTTTTGGTTGACACTAGGCGCTGTGATCACATTATTTGTGCACTAGATCAAGATGAAATACAAAAGCAAATAGGCTTTTAACACTCCATTAAAAAAATCCGGGATTTTTGTAGGTGATACTTTGTAGCTAGCTTGTAGCTCAATTTTTTAAAATTTTATAAAGACCAAAAGTCATTTTATCTGGAGTGGCCAGCACAGATACATTAAAACTAGTTCCAGGTATTCTAACTGGTAAATATCTGTACTGTTAGTATCTTCAAGGCCATTTTAAAATCCTATTATTAATAGCTAAAAGGGAGTAAAAAGTCTATTTTTGAAGCTATAAATTACTTTTGTATTTTTTAAACAAATAAAATATAATTAAAGAAATGTGTAGTTAATTATTCTTATATAATTGCTTATTTCTAATACTAAATTATTGTCATTTTCTCAGGGTTATGTGTAAATCAGCTTCCAAAATGTAAAATGATTAAACATTTTAATTTCAGATAATATCAAGTTCAAGCTGTGCGTGATTTGTATTCCATAGACACTGGAGATAAGAAATGTTTACAGATTTAACATCATTGAAAGAGGGCTGAAGAACTATAATTCATTTTCTTGTGCTGATACACAGAAGGTCAAATCAGACACTATTTCCTTAGTTTTCTTCAACCATGTACCCTGAGTTGGAGCATCTCCTCTAGCTGTGTTCAGCCTCCATCTCATTTACTTGTCAGCCTTAGCTTAACGTGCCATTTTTCTTGTTCTTCTGTTACATTCTGCCCTTCAAACTGTGCTACATCTTGGCAATTTTCTTTTCTCTGGGTATCTTTCCAATTCTCCTTAACCTTCTCTAATGTGAATCCTTGAATGAAGCACAGAAGCAAGTGTGTCTGCTGATATCTAGTAATATGCCAGGCTGTAGTGCCAAGACTCCAGTATTAAGTCCTTCAAAGAGATTCCCTGCACTCCTCCTCCTACTGTAAGGTAAGATTCTGCAGTTACAGGATATGTGAAACAATTGTTTTGCTTTAACACTTGTATTCAGCTTGGGATGTTGCTCTGCCATCACAAAGTCACTGCTAAAGAAAATGCTCATTAGCAGGAAGGCTCTCTCTCTTCAAGGCCAAGAAGGAAGGCTTTAAGTCTGGCACTCTGGGCAGAAGTTTGTGCCTCAGTCACTGCTATTCTGCATTTTGTTCTTACTTCTCAGGTTAAACTGTTTAATTTCATCAACATCTGCCTTTGATCACCTACTGCCCTTTTGTGGAAGGCTCCTTGACTTAGGTTCTCCTGATAGCCTGGAGGTTTAGCTGGGCTGAGCAGGCAGTGCTGCAGTGCTCCCAGACAGAGCTCTGACAGGAGCTGAACCTGATTCTGTTCAGATCACTCTGCTGGAGGCAACTCTGCACCATGTGCCTGATGCTTCACCTTCATGTGGTGGTGGTTGTCACACTGGACATGGCACAGCTAGAGAGAGAAGATACCCAACACATTATGTATTCCTCTTGCTCCAGGTGGTATCCTAGAGGACACACTCTGGATAACCATTTTACCACTGTCACTGTTTAATTTGGAGCAGGAATTTTAGCTGTTTTCCTTTCACTAGCCTCAAATTTACAGGAGAAACTTCACTACAAATTAAGGATGTGGAAAGGCCTTGGTGTATTTACCAGCTGAACTTTTCAAATGGCCTGCAGATCTGTGAGTTCTGTTGTGGAGAGGTTCTAGGAGGGAGTAAAGCTTTGAAACAGAGGGGTGTCTGGAAGCCTCCCATGATGGACCACCCTTTGGAGATCAGAGCATTTGCCACGGCTTGTGACATGAAGTTGCCCAAGGACTGAGCAGACAAACTGACATTTTGAAGAAATTTGATTACTGATCAAAGTCTTTTGCTTATCTTTTACAAGAAAAATTGATTTATCTTCCCAGGAAGTCCTTAGTGTGATGTTATCTAACAGTGGTACCGATTAATTGATAATGGATTTGTAATAAGCTTTGGATATATTTTTACAGGTGCTGTGCTGTCCCAATTTTTGCTGCACAGAAGGGGATTAAAACCATTTTAGAACCTCACTCATACTAACTTTTACTGCTGTCTTTTTTGCTTGTATTTAATTTTTTTTGTCTCAAGGTTTTTTTCATCAGTTTGGAAAGTATATGCAATTTTACATTTTCTCTCAGCTGAGTTTGATAGTAAAGGTAACAATACAAAATTACAAATATTAACTAGTTTGCAGTTTCATCATTTTAAGTTACTCAGTTGAGATTTAATGTTGTACTTGGATTGGACAGCAATGCAGCTCATTGGCATGTGAAGTTTGGCAATTAGTTGAGATGTGTTAATGATCTCTGGGCATTCTGCCTTCACAGATCCCACCGTGCTAATAGTAGATAACGTCATATCAGTTTGGCAGTTCATTCATAACATATAGCCCTAATAAATATGTGGGGACTGTGTGGCATGAAAAGTGATGCCTCATAATAATCCCTCTATTGTTGGAGGAATCTTGCTACTATTAGATTAATTGTTGTATATTGAGAGAAAAGGCAGATGAAAAAGTCTCCAGATAGTTGAAAATACTGAGCAGCTGTATGAATTTTGTTACATAGCTAAAAAAAAGATCAAGTTAGCTGTATTTAAAAGCTTGACCAACATTTTTGAGTACTGTTTTCTTTTAAGCAGTATTTTCTGCTCTACTCTAACAGCTAATTTTATGTAAAATTAATTCAGTTGCTCTCATTTGTTTTTAATAAGAGCATTTAGACTTGCTTTCTTGTCAGGAGAAAGTAAAAAAAGCAAAATACTGAGTTGCTGAAAGCCTGATACCTTCTACTGGCATAATCTCTGTAGCAAGATCCTTCAATTAATCCCACTATTTCCAGGCTCAGGGCACAGCACAAGAGGCTCACCAGTTGAAGAGAAAGAGGTGAGAACCATTTCCTGCCAGTCTGTGGGGTTGTTTCTGGTCTGAGCTAAAGAGTACAAAGGTGTGAGCCCCTCGTGGAACAGAGGTGTGACAGTCCTGCAGGTGAGTCAGGGAATGTGGCAGTGCTCTGACCCAGAGGTTGGGCAGTGTGTTAGTTTAAGGCTTTAAGGGGAGTCAGGGCAGGTTGAGCAGGTGAAAAGGGGTGGTGGTGGAGGGGGAGCCTGTTTTGGGTTAATGTTTGTGCAGGTTATCACAGCAACCTGTGGGCTGGCAGGAAAGCAGTAAAACTAGCAAACACTGAAAAGTGATGTACTGTGAAAGGGAAAAGAGATGGCATCTAGGAGGGATCTGACTGGCCAGGGGAGTAAGATGTGTTCTAGGGCTGGGACGCCAGATGGATTCTGGAGGGAGACACGAGAGCTTACTGCTGGGCAGGTGTAGCTGCTCAACCCACACCTTAGTGTGCCTAAAATCCCAATTAAGGGAGTTTTTTCAATGCAGCCTTCATTCTAGGGTAAAATTTGGGATTTGTGAAAGTTCTGAAAGACAGTGCATCGGTTTGGAACGTTACATAAGTAGCTTATTTACACTCATGCAAGTTGGTCATTGTTCCACCACCTTCAAACTCAACTGTGTGTGAGTATATATGTATAGATGTGTGTATACAGAGTTAGTCTGCAATTTGCTGTTGAAAGCAAATGCAAACTACAGCAGTGACCTTCCTTCTGTTTCTACCTTTGGGGGCTATTTTTCATGTTCACAATCAGCTCCAGTATCTGACTTCAGCTCATCAGTGTTTCTTGCAAAGAAGCAAATAAACCAGTGAACCAAAAAGAGTTCTGTGAAGCCCAAGTGCCTTTATTGAGGCTGGGTTGAAGTATTTGTTTAGCTGTGGTAACTAATAATAGTGCAGTAAACCAGCCAACCTGGTTGTTTCTGGCTTGCTTCCTTTTGAAGGCAGTGTGTGCCTTCTGTCAGGGCGTGTGTCATGTTAGTGCCTGTGGCTGTACCTCTTAGAGGGGGCTCCGAGAGAATACTCAATAGTTTGCATATTTCTGTTGCTTTTGTGAATGTATCTTGCCTAACACTGCCAATATTGATGAAAGGTCTTGTTACATGTCATGGAAGTGTTTTATAGAGGATGAAAAGAAATTAAAATCAAAATCTGCAAATTCCTAGGCACATGCAAGATTTTCAGTTGTAAACTGCCCCATTGCAATAAATACAAAGGTCTTGTTTGCTAATATTGCTAATATTCCTTAGACTGACATTTAGGAACTTGATTTTATAGGCTGAACACCTGTTTTTTTGATGTTCCTTCCTTTTTTAGTGAAGGGGACAGGGTTAAAAATGCCTTTCTAGAGCATTTAATGTCTGTAATGCAAGAAAAACAGAAGTTTATCATGTTTGATCTTGTATATGTATGATCTGCAGGGATCTAAAGCACATAAATAGTGTTTGTGTCCCCATAAACCTTTTGCTCAGCTTGCTCAGTGGCGTTAAGCTGCGTTTGTGTTAGAGAAATATGCAAAGTGGGTAATGCACGCCTTGGATGTGTGCCTGGCTGCACTCGAGAAGACTTAACAAATGTTGCATCGTTGCGTTGAATGGAACTAGTGCCGAGTTTATTTTTTTGCTCCTAGAAGTGCTTTCTATTTATATGGTCCTCTGTAAGAATACGTAACTCTGCTTCGTTGAAACAGTTTTTTTAAAGCGGTAAGGAAACGTTGAAACCGAACACTTGTTAAGGCTTTTCCAAGGCGCCGAGCGGGCCTGGGTTTCTGCGGCGGCGGCTCCCGGCTCCGGCAGGGCGGAGGTGCGAGGGCGCGGTCGCTGCTCCCCGGCCCCGCCGCGCTTTGTTGGCCCGGGCCCTTTGTTCGCAGGGGGAGCGCAGCAGGAGCCGGGCCCGGTGCACGGGCGGCCCTGGCCTCGCTCTGCCGCCGGCTCCCGCGCCGGGGCCGGACGTTCCTGCAGCGCCCGCGGCGCCGAGCCCGCGGCGGGGCTGAACTTTGCATCCCGGGAGCAGCCCCAGCAGCTCCTCGCAGATAAGCGGCACGGCCGACGGCCGCCGCCAGCGCGGCGCCGCGCGTTGTGTGTAAACACAGCCCGTCTATATTTCTGTGTTTGTGTGTTTGTACGCTCCGCACCGCCCGCAGCACCTGAGCGCCGCCGGGACAGGTGCGGCCGCCGGGAGCCCTCGCGGGGATCGAACCCGCGTCCTGACAGCGGCCGGCGCGCGCCGCGAGGGAGAGGCGGTGGCCGCCGGTCCGGTCCGGCCACGCCCTTCCGCCCCGCCCCCCCGGCCCCGGCCCGGCCGATTGGCGAGCGGTGTGTGTACACACACGGGTCCGGGCCAATGGTGCGGGGAGGGCGCCTGACGTCGCGCGTCGCGGCAGCCAATGGGCGCTCCCGGCCGGCAGACGCCGCCAAGCTTGTGCGGGGGAGCAGGACCGGGTAGTGCTCGGCGCGGGGCGGGCGCGGGGGGGCGGCGGGGCCGGGCCGGGCCGGGGGCGCTGCGGGCGCTGCTGCCGCCACGCACCGGGGGCCGCCCGGGGGTCCCGGCTCCGGGGCCTCCTCGCCAGCGGCGAGTGCGCGGCGCCGGCCCGGCCGAGAGGCGTCGTCGGCGCGACTGGATCGCTCCTTGCCGCGGCGGCTGCCAAGGGACCGTCGCCGTCTCGTCGCCTCAGCGTCGCTGTCTGGGCCCAGCCCGCGCTGCCGCCCGCCTTACCTTCCGTCCCTGTTCGGGCCTGCTGGTGAGCGGGGGGCGGGTGTGGGGGGCCGTGAGGGGGAAGGGCAGCGCCTTTCTTCGGCGATCGGCGGCCGCCGCCCCCCAGTGCCCCGGGCGGCGCGGTCCCGCCGGCCCTGCCGCCCCCTCCCCGGTGCCGCCGGGCACCGGGCTCGCCCCACCTCGTCTCCCCCCGGTGCCTCAGGCCGGGCGGACCCGGGAGGCCGGGAGCCGGTGCCCGACACCTGCGGGCGGGCCCGGGCGGCGGTGACAGACGGGGCGCCTCCTCCATTGTGGGGCTGGGCCGCGGCGGGCCGTGCGGACTGCGGAGCGAGCGGCGGCCCGGCCGCGGCCCCGGGGCGGGAAGGCACCGGCCGGGAGCCCGGCCCTGCTCGGCCGTGCCCCAACTTCGTGTCGGGGCGGTTCTCACCCGCCGCTCTTATCGGGACAGGGTCAGTCCGGCACAACAACAACAAAACTTCCCTGCCTGCCTTTTCCTGGGAGTTCCAGGCCTGCCCGGGCTTCCAGCTGTAAAGGGCTCCGCGGCAGAGGTGAACCCAGTGTAAACACCGTCTGCTGCAGCTCAGCATACAAACAATGGCAGGAAAATACGGAATAAGCAAACTTCCTTGAAATATGGAAGAAAACCGCAAATGAGAGCGTTCTCTCTCATTGAGTAAAGGGGGGATGCCGAGCTGTGTATCACAGCTTGTGCTGCTCTCCTCTGGAGAAAGGACTTTGGGTTTCATTTTCTCTGTAAGTTCTTGATTTGGCAGAGAAAATGAATAGTTTTAATTGATATGATATAATATGCCGGGTAAACATTTTTTGCAAATTATTTCTTGGTCAGTTTTCGTAATTCTGAAAGCAGTTCTATTCTTTTTTTGACTCTTAATTAATATGGCTCACAGTGACTGTTTTCAACTACTATCACTGATGTAGCTTAATTATGTTGACTAAAGGTAGTAAAATGTTGGAGGTTGTGTAGTGCTGTAACAAATTGCAGCTTGATACAATCTTTGATTCAGAAATAATGTTATGCTGGTAAAAATGAATGCTGTTAAAAAATAAATTAATATATTTTCTCTATTCCTTTACCCTTCCCAGATTCACCTCAGTTCTTTTGATTATATTATATTCTGTCATACACAAAAATGAATCTGTATAAGTGTGGTGAGGACTGAGAGGACCAGTGTTCCAGGGCAAATGCAGACCTGTGTTTCACAGCCCGTATTTATGCCAATGCTCTGTATACTCACCAGTGGTTTTTATGCAGTGAAGTATTGAATTTCAGGAACTTCTGTTCAAACTAACATGGAGGGTGTTAAATATAGCACTTTGAAAAATACATGGAGGACTAAGGAGAAGTTTGTGTTATAGAAAAGAAAAGACTTTGCTGGAGAGGTGATCCAGAGGGAAAAAAGTCAACTTTTCTTTTGAAAAGTGTCTTACTGTGAAGCAAGTCTAGTGCCTCTAGAAGAGGACAGAGTAACAGGTCAAATGATTTAGTTCTATACTAGAAGAAAAAAAAATTATTAAATATTAATAGGATTGTCTCATGGGTGAATTTAAGAGTGATCTTATATTACTGTCAAATTATTTGGCTTTCTTTTAACCACTTCCTCTTTGCATAGCAAAAAGAAACCGTTTGACTTGTACTATCTTAATAGAATTAATTTTACAGAAAACACACCAGTGAGAGGAATGCTCTTAATTGCTGCAGAGGGCTCTGACTGGTGGCCTCCCTTTACAAAGTGGGAAGGTGCAGTTTTCAGAAGAGCATCTTGGCAGCAGCTCTCCAGTGTGAAAGGCACAGGCCAATACCCAGCTGGGCAGCAGCAGTGCTGTTCTGCAGGGGATGGCAGCAGGACAAGAGCATTCCTTATCTCTGGCTGCTCTTGTCTGTGTTGGACAGCACTGCAGAGACCTCTGGTGCATCTGGACACACTTCCTGAGCAGTTGTGAGCACCCTCCCAGTGAAGATCTTTCAGTAGCTTTGACTAAAATTGTTAAAGGTTTAGTGAAGAAACAGGGACCAAAATTCCAGCATTCCATCCTCTTCAGGGTGTATGGTGTTGGTGTAGATGTGCAGACCCTGCCACTGTGCCTTTGAGAGCTGAATGTGAGTCTCTAAATGCAATATAGAGTATAGAATATAGGGACTTGCATGGTATGAAGGGAAGCTCCTGCAGCCCATCCTATGTAGAGAGAAATATTTAAATTTCTGTATCCTCATGAGGAGCAGAATGAGTTCTAGTCATAGCCAGTGTAATTCAGTTCTTGGAATTGCATTTCTTCTTGTGTGCTGCCTTAATATAATGTTCTTAGGGCTGTCTCTAAAGAGTGATAATTTCTTAAATTGTTTGTTTTTTCATGTTTTGAGTGTAATGGTGTAAGACTTTCTCCACTGCTTTTCCAGTTATATTCGCTGTACGTGACTCTTGATGAATCAACAGTGAATCTTAAAATAGGGAAAATCAGCTGTCTGTTCTGCTGCAAGGAAATACACTTGTGGATTTTTTTCTGCATAAAGCCAAGAAACCACTGGAATCAGATGGGTTTGTCACAAAACTTTAGGTATTAGGTGAAAAACAGCCCCAATGTCTTGGTGTGGCAATAGGACACAACATGGTGGAGCTGAGGGCACAAATCCCACAATGTCTGTGGTGGGATCTGAGAAACCAGGGATATGCAAGGGAATATTGTAAGAGGAGCGGGTGTGCTAGGGAGAGAGAGTTTTGTAGCAACTTCCTGGATTGATTCTTCATGTTGTTTGTAACATCCAGTATTAGAATGAAGTGAATTCTTTTTCCCCCCATTATTTGATTTGTAGACCATGACTCTTCTGCAAGGATCTGAGGCAGTAGTAAGTGATCTTATTTTCAGTTTCATTAAAGGAGCTCCTTTGCTCCTTGGTCTGATGTCCTGTGTGATAGTTTCCAATAAAGGGCTTTACAGACTGCTCACATTTACTTTTATGCTTGTCAGTATTTATAGCATAAAAATCAATCTAAGCAAAACTGCAGGTCTACAATAGTTCAGTTTGTAAGACCACTGTAATGGAACCAAAGCACAGCTTTGTAGGATATCCTACTTCTAGTGAAATACAGAACAGTAATTAAATGAAAAAAGATGATGTTTGAAAATGATTTGAGGTCCAGCTATTCACTTAGTACTGTTGAAGAAACTCTTTGCCTTTCAGGACACGGTTTGCAAAATCCACAGCCTCCTGTGAAGCCATTTGTGAGGATATTTGTATTTACTGAAACCTAAAGCAACTCCTGGGTTTTTGTAGCACATGAAAAATAATGCTTTAGCCAGCTCACATCCAGAATTGGCTGTCACTGTGGAGCCTGAAACCAAGCTGGGAGAAGATGAGTGGTTGGTTGTGAGTGTGCTTGGTTGTGAACTGCAGCAATTCAGGTGTTGGCACAGTTTCATTCTTTGACTTGATAATGTTCAAAAGAGAAGGCAACTTGATTTTTGGTAACTTCCCAAATCAGTTAAGCATGAATTCTAGAAGGGGTTTCTTTAGAGGTATCTTTGAAGGCATTATCCAGAATTGTCACAGCACTGGGATCTTCCTGGTTTACAGTCCATAGGATATTTGACTGACTTGACCAGCCAGGTTTTAACATGACCTGTAGAAATCATCCACTTTATACAGGTGATGCTGTCTTCGCTGGTTTTGTGTTATTTCAGTCAGTGGATGTGCCCTGACCACCAGGTTTTACACAAACAGGGGTCAGAGGAAGCAGTGGTGGTAGCTGGGACTGCTTCTGTTCCTCTTTGCTAGCAGTGAATGGAGTGCCCAGGTCCAAACCATGGAATTTTTATTAACATCTAGAGACCAAATTCCATTTGGGAATGTAATTCTGGTCTTGCAGCTCAATTTATTTTTTCCTGTGGAGCTTAGAGTATGCTCCTCTTTGTGTTGTGTTTGGCAAGGCAGGTTTCTCCTGTTCCATCAGGTTCCTGCTGCTGCCAGATTTGTGTTGGTTTGGGTGGGAATAGCAGATGATTCAGTTGTGGCTCACAATCTCTTTAGTGCTTTTGTTGAGTCCCTCACTGACCTCTCTTGGGTGATTGTAACATCTGGCTGGGTGTATGGGAAGGTTAATTTGATAGGAATTCATAATCCATTTACCCATGGGTGGTGTACACAAATATGTTCTGTGTGAATAAGGGACCATTTTAATTTACTGTTTTCTTACTGCAGATTTCAGGGTGGGAAAAAAGAAAAATAAGGTCAGAAAGAAATTAGCAGGTTGCAACAGGTACTCACTGTCTTTAAGGCTGTGAATTTTAGTTGTATAGAGAAATTCTTCGATTTGGTAGCAGCTATTATAATGCTGTTTGTGGGAATTAAAGCCAATATATCAGTATCTGCTCATTAAGGCTTGTAAATGCCAATGCATTGACATACTGAAAGTCACTTGTGAGCTGTAATGGTCATCCAAGAATATATGGTGGTAACATGACCAGTAATTATGGATGAGATTACAAACTGCAAGTGAAAGTGAGCTTATGTCCTCAGAGTGAAATAAGAAACCGTGTGTGCATGGGCTCTCCGTTTCTGGGAAGGAAGGAGTTAGGTAACTTCCTTTTGTTATAAACTTGACCTTGAGATTTGAGGAATGTGAGAAATATATTGCTGTTCTCTTAAAGGTGCAATCAGCTTATTGTAGACTTCAGTTTATTTAAAATTCGACTTGCAATTGCAAATACATTCCAGCATTTTTTTAGATCGATAAATTCATACCAACAACTAATAAAATTTCAAGCTGTGTATTGATTTGGTATAACAGCAGACTTCTGCTCTCTGTCAAAAGCAAATTATTAATCCTGCTTCTTGCTGAATAAGAAATTGAGGAAGCTGTGATCTGGAGACAAAAATATCCCCCTTCCTAATGGATTTTTGAAGCATGCACACACCCCAGTGAATTCTTCAAAAGCACACAGTAGTCTTTATGTGAACAAGCAACCTGTTGTCACATTTCAATCCATAGGTAAACTTTGAGGGATCAT